GTTTGGCGTCTCAACAGCTGCTTGGTGAGCACCCAGCTTGGTGTTCTCTCTTGTCTGTCTCTTATTCCTCTGCAGCGTGGCCCCGTATTTGCACCTGCACCAGCAAGAGTGATGACAGAGTGATTTGAGGACTCCCGTGCCCTTCCTGACTGGTATTTTTTCTAGCATGCATAGAGAACAATGTCAGAAAACTAGTTTTAGTCTTAAGTGGATGAATGTAGGCTGTTTAATTAGTTTAGTTAGTAAAACAAAACTTGCAGGAAAAAAGCTGCCCACTGAAGACTTCTTTATTTGTGGAAAAAAAGGAAGAAAGCAAACTTTATGCTGTCTGAACTTTGAAAATAGTTGCTTTTAATACATCTAGAACACTACAGCAGAAACGTACCAAAAAAAATACTGTATCGTGCCAGCATTTTTTCTCCCTTATTTGATGTAATGGCTTGACTAAGTTAACTTTTTAATGTCTGCTCTTAACTAGGGATGTTATTTAAATTTAGAGCATTCCTGACTCAGTTCTGTATCAGGCAAGCACAGACAGCACTTAGGTTGGCCTCTGGGTGATAGGGGTGTTCTTCCTTCCCCGCTCTCCAGTAATGCAGTCAGTACTGAGGGATGAGGGCAGGCTGCTAATTGAGATTGTCCCTCCAGAAAGGCTATTTTGAAAGTTTCACTAACTGGGTAGTTGGATATTTTGTGCTCCGTGAACTCAATACCTGGTTATTCTGGTTTTTTCCTAGTCTTGAGATAATTTCCCCTATTTCAGCTTCTGGGGTTTTGGTGGGTTGGTTTTTTTGGTGGGTTGGTTTTTTGTTTTTTTGAGGACTACTGGGTGTCATTTAAAGCATTACCAAGCTTCAGGTTTTTTTTCTCCTGTTCTTAGCACCCATATAAGAACTTGCAATACACCCGCTCTAATTTAGTCCCTTTTCCCAGTGCCAAAGTGCTAGTACCAAAGGCTCTGGCTTCGTGCCCTCATGCTTTTTTGTTGCAGTTATTGCCTGAGAAATTTTCTGCATTTTTCTGCCTCTCTGGTTCTACAGTTTGTTTATAAATCATTGTTATTTTTACTGTCCAGGGATCTAGCCAAATTCTGTATGGTAGTGACAAAAACATAGAGCTTTTTTTTTCTTTTTTTTTTTTTTCCTTTGGTATAGCAGTGAGATTAATACCCATCTGGAAAGTTTTCCACAGTGTGCTGTATTTCTTTACTGCACCGGAGAAGTAACAATGTTATGGTCATTGTTGTCATCTACACAAGCTGCTTGGTTTGAAAAGTGTTGCTGATTCTTATTTTAAAACTTTCCATATGAGGTTATGTTTGTTGTTTTTTGGGGTGTGTCCCCCCCCACACACACACTGTGTTTAGTCTTTGGGAGCTTCAGGATGTCGCTGCTTGTTACTGGTGTGTTAAGCTGTTGCTGCTCTGTGTTTTTAATGTTCCCTTTTGCATGCTTGAGGAGGCAGGTGATAGGCAGTGGTAGCAGCAATGGATTTTGGAAGGCAATGTCCTCAGACCAGCGAAGGTTAAATGTGCTCAGCTCTCTACCGCTACGTAACGCTGGTGCGCTTGGCTCCTGGTGGGACTGCTGAGCTGCTTTCTTTACGATTATGAGGCTTTAGTGTGGCTTAAGGAAAGACCACAGGGAGTACCCAGAGTGAGGGGAGAAGATGTAGTTAGCAAATAGAATCATAGAATGTTTTGGGTTGGAAGGGACCTTTAGAGGTCATCTAGCCCAACCCCCCTGCAGTGAGCAGGGACAGCTTTAACCAGATCAGGTTGCTCAGAGCCCCGTCCAACCTGACCTTGAATGCCACCAGGGATGGGGCCTCCACCACCTCTCTGGGCAACCTGTTCCAGTGTATTACCACCCTCATTGTAAAAAATTTCTTCCTTATATCCAGTCTAAATCTATTCTTCTTTAGTTTAAACCCATTACCCCTTGTCCTGTCACAACAGCCCTTGCTCAAAAGATTGTCCCCATCCTTCCTGTAGGCCCCCTTTAAGTACTGGAAGGCTGCACTAAGGTCTCCCCGCAGCCTTCTCTTCTCCAGGATGAACAACCCCAACTCTCTCAGCCTGGCCTCGTAGGAGAGGTGCTCCAGCCCTCGGATCATTTTTGTGGCCCTCCTCTGGACCCGCTCCAGCAGGTCCATGTCCTTCCTGTGCTGAGGGCCCCAGAGCTGGACGCAGCACTGCAGGTGAGGTCTCACCAGAGCAGAGCAGAGGGGCAGAAATCACCTCCCTCAACCTGCTGGCCATGCTGCCACATTGGTGGCCTAGCTCTGAGATTCAGAACAAAACATGGAGTTCCCTGATTTTCAGATGGATTTGTTTATGTTTCAGGATTTTCCTGAGCATTGCAGCATGATGCTCCCCGTGAGAATTTCCAAGAGCAGAAACAGACTTAAATAATTTTTAATGACTTGAGAGCAATCGAGGAGAGGAGCAGAGAACTGGTGTGATAATTGAGTCTGAGATTTGTGATGGGAAATTCCTTGGTGCTGTTTCATAAAGTTTCTCACGTTTTTCACTCTGGTTATTTAGAAGTCGCTATTTGTGAAACAGAATATAAACTAGTCTTTTGCTCAAACATATAAGAAAACTATACTTAGTAGCAAGTGATTATTTAGACAGAAGCAAAGAATGGTTGCCTATACTATGGACAATATTTCAGCACAATTTTTTCAGTATTTATGTCAAACGGATATCTGTACTGACTATTACACTACTCAAATTAGTGCTTGTACCTTGCATCTAGGTGAAATTCAGAAGACATGCAACCAGTCAAAAGCCTGTTTTTGTTTTGCTTTGTGTAACTTGGTGTTCAAGCCTTGGAGTATGCTAACTTTTACTTTCAGTTAGTCTGCTGTTGGCTAGAAAAGTGTTACTTATGTCAGTAAAAACAAGGAAAAGTCCTGTAGTTGAGTTTTTTACTGAGTCATTTTTAAATCACAGACATGTTTCACTTGTAAAATCTTAAAGACATCTAGGAAAGTGGTGATGCTGGCAGCCCTACTTTGAGTGAAAACCGATTCCCCTTTTTTTTTTGACTGTTTCATGGGATACCTTTGATTTGAATCAATAGCAGATAGTGTGTTGATATTTGAATCAATAATTACTGTCGTTTGAGTTGCTGAGGCTTACGTTGCTGCTGTTATTCTATTGCCTGCCGCATAAAGTACTGTGTTTTGCTTGGTACATTTTTACTTCATTATTTGGTCATCTTATTCTGTGTTCATCAGTTCAGCACCCTGTAACGCTGATGGTATTTTTGCAGGAGTGAGGTTTAGGTCTTGATGTTGGCATCTGACAGGCTTTCATTCTGTTTTAAATTCACATGTTCTAGTTAGACCAGTATGGCTGCTGCACATAAAAGCAGTGTGTATATGCATGCATACAAAAACGTGTTCAAAATGTTTTTATTACTATATTCTTTATTAGGGATTAGTGTTTTAATTGGCTTTCTGTGGTAGCAAAAGTTCTTGTGCAAATGTGGTTATTCCAAGAAAAGCAGTTATGTCGTGTATGAAAATGTTATAAACACAAACTGCAAAGCATTCATAAAACTGTGCTTAGAAACACTGATTGATACATTCAGAATACTTAGGGTCTTAATTTTCTTGTCCACAATGAATCACTTCATTTTAAGAGGAAATTGGCTGTATATAGGCTTTAAATAACTTAAAATTTTCTTAAATTTTTCCCTGTATTATTTATCTTCCTTATAATGTGTTTTGGGCCGTTGTCTAATACGCTATGAGATACTTACATAAATACTTTCTGTATTTTAATTTAGGTCACAATATGCTCCCAATGGTTGGTATTTGCAGAAGCCTAAAAAAACCCTACTAAGATCAGCAATTGCTCAGTTGACATATTAGTGAGGTAAATGCTCTGTGGAAAGCTGTAGGAGCATTGCATCTGCCTGCAGCCCACTTCTCCCTTAGGTTACCTTCAAATCCCGTTATTGAAATGTTTAGTGGTGGGTATAGTAGAGACAAATTACTCTTGCACGCTAAAAATAAGCATTCATATTTTTTTAATTAATATGCACAAATTGGAAAGCTTAGGCCAGGTGGTCAGTTTTTGAGTCAAAACTATAAACACGGTATACTCAGTGCCGTGGCCCTTTTGCTTAGAAGAATCTAGAAAGCACATGGTTTAATGGTATCCTGAGTGCTTAGCATGTTCAGAGCTAGGTGGTCCCCTTTGGTCATTGCAACATCCAAAACCCAGCAAACATTTGAAAGTTGATGTAGACTGCTGGGAAATCCGTGGTCTCTGTGGCTGTGTTTTCGAGAACAGTCTCAAGCTGATCTGCGTTGCTGCTCAGAGGCAGAGGTACCTTCCCGGCCGTCATCTGCTGCTGCTTTTCTTGTGCTGATACCACTAATGCGGTGTAGCATGAAGTCACCTAGGTATCTCTGCTGGTGAGGCGCAATCTGTGCGTGGAAGGATAGGAAAGATGACTTGAAGCCAGTGGAAAAGAGGGGTTGGGACTGCGTAGCTGGGAGGGTGAGGAGAGAGCGTGTCCTCTGCCCCATCTGCAGTCGGTGAGCCATTTTGTTAGATGAGTGGATGTAGAACTGCGGTCCTGGGTGTGTTTTTATCAGGCTTGGCCACCTTAGTACAGTATCTTGCATGCAGTAAGGGTAATCAGTAGTTCAGAAGGCAGCTATTTTCCAACTGACTGGTGTATTATCTTCTCACAATAAGCAAGAGGCAGTATGAAGCAAGTAGAAAACAAAAGTGGAATCAGAAACTAGTATGGAAAAGATATTTTCTTTCTGATACTGTTTTTAGTGTAGGGGAGTTGGATGTGAAAGTGACACAGCCTAAGGCTGTAAGGAAGGAAATACAGCTTTTGAGGTATTAACAGTGTCATGCAGCGATATTTCTCCACACCATCTAATTGGATTCTTCTTTTTTTTTTTTTTTTTTTTTTGTTGTTGTGACAGAGAAACCAATGTGCTGAATAATAGATTTGTTTTGTTTTCAGGGTGATCTACACAAAACTCGCAACTCTGCGTCAGCCACAGATGGACTCTCTGCAACTTCATTTATAGAATACCCAAAGTACAAGCCATTTATTAATTCAGATTTGCTGCGGTCCCCACGGAAACCAGTAATTCCATATCCTGAAAGCAACAGCAGAGGTAATAGTTCAGCAAAGTTGTTTTCTTAGCTGTTTCCAAACCATGTGGCGAAGTACTGTATGTCCACATCTACAAAGGTTGTAGTATTTTTATTCTTTTATCACTTCCTAGTCATGTGCAGGTCACTTGTTTTGTCAGTCCTTTGCACTTCCTTTTCTGAAGAATACCTAATGAAAAAGGTCGTCTTACAGCTGAAGAAAGATGCTCCTCTTCAGTAGTAGAGAGCTGTAAAATTGGCCAAACACTTTGTGAAATTGTCCCAACATGTTTTCTTTGCCTCTTCTCCAGTCCTCTTCTCCCTCAGTCTTTCTTCTGAGTTCACAGCTGTGTTTGAAATAAGGATACTTTAGTCCCCAAAACGGTTTGGAGCTAAGGAAGAGGTTTAGTGCTGTTGCAATGGGAAAGCTTGTCATGGACAAAGGGTGTGGTGAGACTATTTATTATATCAGTGAGGACTTAGAGCATACAAAAAAAGTATTATGCAGCATAGGGCTGAACAGAGAGATCACCACACAAAAAAGGGATGCGATTTTACTCCCATTTATTCTTCCTTGTTTCTAGGCTATTCCTTCTCCCTGCTTTCCCACTCTGGTCCTAGTGTTCATCTCCAGATAAATAGATTTGTCTTGCTTGACCTGACATGAACAAAAACATTCTTGGTTAGTTTTCTGTTGTTTTCGTGAATTGGCTTGTCATGCAATGAAACATACTCCAGAGCTGCCTTGGGGTAAGTACGGGAGGCAGCAAGGGGAGTTGGGAGGCTAGAGCAGCACTGATCCTTTGATGTGAGCTGTTTGGCTCAGGGTCATTGCAAAAATACATCCTTTAAGACTGGAGTTGCATGGAGGCTTAAGGGTATGAAAAACTTGATTTTTTTTTTTTTTTTCCCCCTTATAGGGAGAACAGTGATGAAGATTTAGGATGAATCCTAGTATTACCCAAACTAAGTAAAAAAACCTCAGCATGATAGGCTCGAGTCCCTGTTCCAATACCGTAATTCATGTCTGAATTACTAGAGACCAATATGTTAATGACCTAGTAGGTGAAATCTGAATTCTTGAAGTGCTATTTAAAATGCAGTATATGCTCAATGCCATCAGTTTTAAGAGTGCCGTTGACACAAAACTAAAGGAACCTTGTGACAGATAAAAAATCGGATGTGCAGGAAAGAGCTTCCTTATGAATTACTGATGTAGGCGTATTTTTGTAGATTGTGTTGCACGTTGCATTAGTGACATCTTTTGACTTCCAAACTTTCGCTTGGCAACTTTTTTCAAGCAGGGAATCTGCCAACTCTGAAATTTAAGTGCAGAGACAATATGATAAATTATATCCCATTTTAAAAATTATGAAGTGTCTTTGTTTTCAAAAAATGTTTAAATATGAATACATACTGAAAATTAAATCCAACAGCAATGATCCAATATCTTACTCTTTTTGCATAGGTTTTAAAAATGCAAAAATGTTCCAGAGTGTATATTTTAGTAAGGTTAAGGATATGGGAATTAACTTCAGATGAGAAGGTAGATTTGATTATTCTTGGGGGTCCTTGCTGCTCCTTCTACCCCCTAATTTAAAAAAAAAAAATCAAATTGAGTGTAGTAAATTCTGCGTATTTTGGTTTGAATTTCTTTGTGTTGTGTATGTGTGTGTCTTGGCATACATAGTTGGCTTTAATACTCTAATAAGGGTGACTGAATGATACTTGTCATTGTGTTTGGTTTCATCTTTATTTGTTTCCTGAATTGCTTCATTCCTGTGTTTTGTTAGTCATTTTTGTAAACGTACAGAGGTTTCAATTTAGCTGTAAGGATAACAGTAACGAAGCTGTTCATGGTTCCAGCTGTGCCCATTTCAACTGAATCCTGGTAACAGAAACATAAGGAAAGAGAAGAGGGTGCAGTTGGTGACTCTGATGCTGCAAACAGGGCCAAGCTATCTATAGCTTCTCCTTAACTGTGACTGCTGTCACCCACGTCTTATTTACTTAACAGTTATCTTAAAGGAGGAAGTTTTTACTGCTGTGATACTCTAATGTGCTATTCTGAATTTCAAGATTTGATGAGTTTTTACTCTGGAACAAATTAATTCTGACAAGGATTTTTCCTTTTTTTGTTGTCTGATGCTCAAACAAATACACATTCCCAACTTTTCTGTGCTCATGCATTTGGTAATAAAGGTGGTGTGTTCTTTTTCTAGAGTGGGTTTAAGCACAAAGGAGTGGGTTAATGTGACCTTGCAGATTAGGCTGCTATATGAGCTGTCTGTACACATGTTCCTGTGTTTTACTTTAACAGGATTGTATAGGGGAAAGGGTTTATCGTTATGGGTCCCTTTGCAAAAAACAATACAGCCAAGAGACGTAATACATCAGATTACCAGCAGATGGTCTAATTGCAAGGTGATGCGAGTTGCATTACAACTGCTTTTCTTTTTGTGGTGATGAATAGATAAAGGTTTTGTTCAGTAATTGTTAAAGCAGGGAATGGAACAGAAAAAGGGAAAGCTGTTCAGCTCAAAGGAGATGCATGTCTTGGGTGGCGAGGAGGGGAACACAAGTGCAAAAACAGAAGAATCAAAAAAGAGCTGTCACTTAGAGAAAGAAACATTTTTATAGCCTTTCTAATAGCTAACCTTTTTTCTGCTCTACGACCATTCATAGGAACATTGTGTTTGTGTATTTGTTGTGCTAGCATGCACTTGTAGAGGAATAATAGTGTAGAGAACTGCCAGTGTTGTAACTATCTAGTTGTGACCTTTGATTTCCTTCTGATAAAGAGTCAGAAGATGCACTGTTTGCACTTAATCTCCACTTAATCTCCAGAATATTTATGTGCCTTGTTCTGGGAAATGGATGCATCTTTCCCAAATGTTTCAGATGAAGGTGTGCACCAAGGGCATCTACTTGTTTGAGACTAGTTGCAGAATCAGTTATGGTTTAAAAGGAAGCAGGTTTTAATTCCTGGAAGGAGTCTTGGATGCTGGTAAGGAACGCTCTGACTTCCTTACATAACATGCTTTTATAAAAACGTTTCAAGTTCAATGTATCTTGAAGTGGTGATTTAATGGTATCTAACAGAAGGTACTTGTTCAATTACAGCAATATTTTCTGCTCTGAAGAATCTCCAGGAAAAAATTCATCGACTGGAGTTGGAGCGGCTTCAGGCAGAGGAGAATGTGAAACACCTCAGCAGAGAAACAGCAGACTATAAAAAAGTACTAAGTGAACAAATGCAACACAAAGAGCATGACAAGACTGAAGTGTCAAAGAAAAATCAAGGTTGTTTGCAAACTTTATATAGATACTACAGAACACTGATGTGGATGAAACTTGAGTTTTATCAATGCATTAAACTATTTTAATTTACTTTGTTCAGCATCTTCTACTTTGCAGTGACGCGTGGAGTTACGAGGAAATAATTTTAAAAGCATACTTTCTTTTAGGGATTTGCATGCATACAGAATACACTTAATCAGTGGGTTTCTTTAGATGATCCTTTTCTTGTTTGTTTTGGAACTGTCCTGGAAACATCAAATCCCAGGAACAAGCAGTGCACGATTTCACTTTTATGCCTTCTATTATTTTCAGAACTGGCTTCTCAGCTGGCAGCTGCTGAGTCTCGGTGCAGCCTTTTAGAGAAACAGCTGGACTACATGAGGAAAATGATCCAGCATGCAGAAAATGAGAAGTCGCATCTCTTGGAGAAACAGGTGTGTTCTCAAGATTATCTCAGGATTAAATGGTAAAATCATGAACTATGTCATGATTTTTCATAGTTACTGTAATTTTAATATCTTTAAGGGTGGATGTCTATTTCAGCTGGCCTTTGTGTACTTAGGTGTGGATAATTTCCCTGCTTAAATTTCCCAGTCTTAACCAGGATCCTGGTATTTTCTGCCTTTGTGCACCTGTCTCTAAGCCAGTATCAGGCTCTAGTATTAATAAGAATTGTTTGCTTTTGCATGATTGGCTTACTGCAGTAGCTCGTTCTTATTCCTCAGTGTTATACCCATGTGCCACTGGAAAAAACCACCCTTTTGTGTTTACACTCTTCAGGTCTTTGAGGATTTTCTTCACTAGTACTACTTTTGCTAAACTGGGGTTGAAAAACTGATTCTGTAGAAATAATAATAAAATTTCTGTTTCCCACCATCAGTGACTGTGGGATTTGGCCTGTATCTAAAATGAGCTTGAATTTTGTTTTATAGGAGTATGGATCACCTAGAGCTCTCTGTTCATTGGTCTCTGTGGCTGTCCTATTTCAGTCTATTAAGTATTTACTGAAGAAAAAAATTAAGCAAGCTATTTCTAATAGCTGAGTAATGAGGGGTTTTTACCACGTTGGGTTCGGAGGGAGGAAAGACTGCAGAATTCTCTTTCATCTGAATCTGGCTGATGTGAGATTCCCAACACTGGTGGACCAGTGGTGCAGTTTGCTCCCTAATTGTAGGACCATCTAAAATTGTGCAGCGGAAGCAGTAGTTCTTTTGGACTGTTTATGGGCCTGCTTTGTGCTGCAGACACAAGAGTTACTACAGATGGTCTTGTTTTATTGTCCTTATAATTGTTTTGCTTTTTGCTTCTCCTTTCAAGGGTTCGTTGGAGAGGGATCGGCTTCTTGATCAATCACATGTTCAGTCTAAGTTGGAAAAGCTGGATATGCTGGAAAAAGAGTACAGCAGACTTACTATGATGCAGTCGATAGCAGAGGTCTGTCATTTGTACTGGATACTGTTACCAGATTTATCTTGTTTATTGTAATCAGCACTTTATAGCTATATGTCAATAATAGAGCTGAGCAAAACTTTATGCTGTAGAGAAACACAGCAACTAAACATCTTTTTAAAGTTGAAGTGGTGGAAAAACTTGCAGTTACTGCTGGAACTCTACACGGCCAGGCAGGCTTTAGGTCAGTACACTTTGTTTAGCCTTAATGGTATCTGTTGGTGTTCCTCTTTTGTGGTTAGTTGGTGCCTAGGCATGTAGGATTGCGGGTGTTCCTGAGCTCCCAGCTTCTGACTTGCCTTGCATGCTACTCGATGCTAGCAGTTATATTCTGTTATGACACAGATCTGACTTGACTTGTAGGGGTTTGGTGTGGTTTTTTTTCTAGCCACTCACACTCCTCCTTAAGAAATGCAGTTACTATTGATTATTTTGCGTGCAGAATTATGGCGCCTGACATTGCTAGGCCTCTAGCACTGGCTGGCTGTCAGTGGGTTTGAACCAGTCTGCCTCTTCAGGATTCATTTCGAATCGGTAGTTTTTAAAAGTTCAGCATGACTGTGTTTGATCATATTCTTTCTGTATACCATCTGTGGTGTTGGCTTCTGAAATCCGGTCCCCATTCTACCTCCTTCTGCTGCTGCAGAGAGACCACAAGACTCCCAACACTCTGACTGAGCAGAGGGTTTTAGGCAGCCCAGTGCTGACCTGCAGGGCATTTTCTGTAGGCAGCCCAGTGCTGACCTGCAGGGCATTTTCTGTAGGCAGCCCAGTGCTGACCTGCAGGGCATTTTCTGTGCCGTGCTACCTTACGTGACGGGCAGCGTGGGCTGGGAAGGGTCTGTGTTCATCGTTAGCTGGCCCTCTGGCCTCTCCCTCTCAGTGATGGACCAATAATCCGCATAATACTTTTTTCTATAAGCAAGAAAAAAAATTTCTTTTGGGAATATACTTGGATAGCTAATTTGTAACAGGGTCTGTCACTGATGACACAGTAAGATACACTCTTGCTGTGCAGTTTGAGCTGCACACTGCAGCTGAGCAGCTGGTTGAGCGAATACTCATTTGTTTCAGTATAAAAGCATTGGCCCAGTTTCATGTCAGTCTTCAGCTCAAACAGAAGATTTGCTTCAGCATTTTCATATTAAAAATTCTGTTATACTTAGGTTAAACAAAGATCTTTGTGAGACTGACCACATGGAAATCCAGAATTGTGCCGCATGCTGTAAAGGGCAGAAGATGATTTTAAGTGACCTGGAATGTACCTGAATGGGGGTGGTGGTGTCAAAAGGGATCTTCTATTCAACAGAAAAAGTTGGTTCCTTTTATATAGTGCCTTTGTCCTCAATGTTTATCCAGGGTTTTGCCTTGAACGCCTTTGTATAACAGCTGGTTACATTAATCTTGCAGTTAATGCTTAAGTAAAGCAGAATTGAAATACTACTTCAGTGTAGTGGGTTTATAAACAGAAGTATACAAATGTAGCTGTTACTTTGAATTGCATGCTTTTCTGCCTTAAGTTTGATTAGTGGCTCTGTGAATAATCAGTCTTTGGGGGAAGAGGAGGGAAGTTGTTTTGCGTCCTGGAGCTCTGGATCATTTTTTTCACCCTGCTGTATAAAACCAGAAAGTTATCAAATAACTTTCACATTGGGAGTTTAAGTAAGTCTATCCTGCTTAAACAAGGTTTTCATCTTGTTGCAGGGTTTACAAAGAAATGTGTGCCTTTCCCCTTAACCCTTTTCTTTGAGAAGGGTTTTTGAAAGAGTTCTTACATGTCTTTAACCATAAAAAGATGAAATCACTTCAGTTTTGCTTAAAGATATCTCTGAGGCATCATATAAACTTTCCTCTCTCTTCTTTATTAAGAAGGTGGCTAGATGTTAAAAAATGCCTCTCTTCTAAGAGTTTAAGTTATAGATACTAGCAAAATTAGTGGTCTAAATAAAGCAAGTCTTCAAGCCCTTTTCTGGTACAGAGTCCTTCAGGATAATGTACACAAAACAACCTACTTTCTGGGGTTTTTTACAACTGAAGAGAAAGACAGCATTGTGTATTACTCTCCCTGTAGGCTGCAAGTTAAATACAGATACCAGTTGTGGAAGTAAAAATAGAAAAATCAATTGAGTTTTAAGCATAAGCACTTGACTGCTGTATTTATGCCTATACAGACAAAATGTCAGCAATACTTCTAATGCTGAAGTCTTCACTTAGCTTTAAGTTGTAAGTTGAACTGATACACTTTTGCTCAAGCTCTTAGTATTGCAGGCTTCAGGAAGAAAATAATTGTTTCATTAGTAATGCTATTTTTATTCAACTTTGACTAGAAAAAAATGAAAGAGCTGGAACAGAAGCTTCAGGAGGAAGAACACGCGAGGAAGCTTGTTCAGGAAAAAGCAGCTGAGGTAACCAACAGGAAATTTCTTTTGTACTGGTATGCACTGTAATTAGCTCTTCCTTTCCATCAACTTTTCAACTAAACTTGCTGAAAGTGCCTCCTATATACAGAATAATGAAAAGCTTGTGTTAGCCTTCCTCCCCCTGCCCCGCCCCATCTGAGGTTCTGAAGTTCTCTGAGCTTTTTGGAAACCTTTTACTAACAGCACCTGTGCACTGAAGCTTTATTTCTTCAGTAAGAGAAGCCAGTTGGAAAAGAGGAATAGAAATTCAGACTAATTCATAGCTGAGGATGTATGAGGATCTCTGCTTTAAATAGATCAAAGTCAACAAGTGTGCTCCCTGGTTCATAACTCTAACTAGAAATATTGTAGGAGGCAAAAAAGAGGCAACATACTATTGGTTATGAGCCCATAAGGACACTGGTCTTCTCCTAACCTTGAAGTGTTGTCTTCATTAAATATTCATTGTATGCTGAAGAAGTATGTAGGTACGTGTTAGGCTCTAGCATTAACCTTTGCCATGGGGGGGGGGGGGGGGGGGGGGGGGGGGGGTGCACAGGCGGGGAGGGGAGTGGTGTCTCAAATTAATCATGAGTAATTCTTCTGTGAATGCTTCTAGTTGAGATTGGTTAGGAGATGATTTCTAAAGCCATGCTGTAGCTTCCTGTTGGAAGGAACAGTGAAGCATATAGAGCTCACTGTTGACAGTGAGAATCCTGACCTTAACTCTTCCAACAGGTGGTTTGGGGTTTTTTTACTGTCACATTTAATAGAACAGAAGGAATAGTTGTCTGTTAACTATATGCCACAGGATCTATTGAGCAGGGGTGGGTGGCTCGAGTTCCCTAACATTTTGTCAAGTGTAAAGCACAGCTGATGTTTTGGCACTTGCCTGCATGGGAGTAATGCAGTAAGATTAATCTTCTAACTTACTAGGATTAGTGATGAGTAGCGCTACCAGAGGAAGTATTCTTGTTTAATGTTTAAATTGATCTTGGACTGCCGAAGCATCCTAAAAACTTGCAGCCCTTGCTTTCAGAGAGCCTGTATTTTAAAAATTCTTGTTTTGCAATTCTCAGCTATTCTGTCTCTGACTCCCTATTAATATAATTCCAGTAACTCCCCTTATTCCCTCAATTAAAGCTTCAGACAGGCCTGGAGACCAACAGACTACTGATTCAAGCAGCATCACCATTGCTTTCTCCAAAAGCAAGAAAACCCAGGAAAAAAACTAAGCAGCCAGAGAAGGTAACATGGGGGCAAGAGAAGGGTAATTACTGAGGAGTTAAATAAGAGTGTGTGCATGCAGTCAGGAAGGTAGGCTGCCTCTTTTATTACAAAGCAAAGGGAAAACGGGTTTGCTGTAGTGTCATCTTTCATAAACATTTCTCTCTTCTTTCTTTGCAGAAATGCTCTCTTACAAGCCATCTCACTACGCAGCCCCATTACAGACTGTGTCTGGGTGATGTACCCTTTGTAGCTGGGAAGGTGAGCTGCTTAATTCCAAAGCTTAATGCTCAGTAGCTGCAGCTCCTTAAGTGGCTTTGGCTTGGTGCACTCCTGACACCCAGTGGCCAGATCATTTCATTTTCTTTGACTCTTTTCTGCCAGTTTGTCTTCAAAAGGCTTGTTGAGTATCGATAACTTGCTGAAGTGGCATTTCCAAAAAAATGGGTCCTCTCTATGCTGCTAGTCAAGCTGTTCTTGGTAGTGCATATTCATTCAAACAAAAAATGCATTCTTGGCAGCAAATAAGAAATGTTACTGTTTTTAAATGTTCTCCATTAGTACCAAGTAGGTTGTTGACAATGCCATTTAAAAGAAGTCTCTTTTACTTTTCCTTTCAGTCTACCAGTCCCAGTCATTCAGTTGGTGCCAATGTCCAACATGTCCTACACCTGATGAAGCAACACTCGAAAGCTTTGTGTAACAGTCGTGTGGTAAATGATACTCCACTAGCAAAACCCATCAGTACCGGTCATCCTGCCAGCAAAAGCAGAAGGACATCGCTGCCAAAGGAATCTTCTTCATCTCAGGAAGAGCTCTCAGAAGTGCTGCTGACTTTACAAGATGAATTTGGGCAGATGAGTTTGTGAGTTCGGCATATTCTCCACTGCAGATCACGAATGTAGATGCTTTATATTTTTGCCTTTTGCTTTAAAGTTGGAAGGTTTTTCCTGAGAAAGGATTTAGTTTTGGGAAGTCTCTGGGATGTAATCTCTCTGTTCTACTGGCTGCGGAGGCTGTCATTTATTTTTGCAGTTAAAAATAAATTCTGATAAACAATCTGGACTGCATACCTGCTTTTATATGCAGCAGCATCAAATTTGTGAGGGGTCAGGGAGAAGTGTGGTAACGTCTGATGCAGTGGACAAATACTGCATTAAAGGACAGCTTTACTAGGCATTTTGCTTGTCCTGGTTAACAGAACATGAATTGTTGTCCTGCTGCACAACTGCAGTAGGTGCAGATACACAAAATAGTAACTCAATGAGTGCTGAGATCATGCCCTCAAAGGATTATTTGGTCATTTTGAATGTGTGAAGCTACTTATGTTACTGAGACTTAATGTTGCAGCGGCCTGCCACCAGGATGTGCTACTGTAATAATGCTGCTAACCAGTAAAACTGTTCTTACTAGTTTGTTGTGGCATGTTGAACATGTCTGGCTGCTGGTGCTATGGTTTCCTAGAAGTGTTATTTCTGAACTGGGTGTACGAGCATTAGAAGCCAAGGGAGTCTGATGTAAGCTTTGTTTTGTCTGAATTCCATGCTAGTGATCACCAGCAGCTGTCAAAGCTTGTCCAGGATGCCCCAACCATTGCAGTGAGGGAAGATCTGGAGAGGGAACTTGAGGCGCTGGTGGGAAAAATGGAAGCAAAGGCAGACCAGATCAGCAAAGTCCGGAGGCATCGGTTGCAGGTGAGTTACTTCTGACTATGTTCATGCTTCTGTAGAGCTGCTATCTTAAGGTTTTGGGGTTTTTGTTTGGCTTTTGTTTCGGGTTTTTTTCATTCTATCCTAATATAGCACTAACTGAATGAAGCAGAAATAACTACTGTAGAGCAGTAGTGCCTAGCTTTAGCTTTGATGTCCCAAAGTTAGTCTGCATACCTCCATCTCTATATCCCAGTATTTCTGCAGGAGTATCCTTTCTGTCTTAACATGTCACCCTGTCCTGGGCAGAGCTTTCACATCTGTTCTTGCATTGCATTTTACACTCCTCTCATCCCCAAAACAGGGAAAAGATAGTCTACTGTACGATAGCAAATCCCACAGCTGTTGAATTCTGTAAACACAGCATAAGCTGGTTGGACAATACACAAGCTGAGAAACAGCATACAGGGCTGGAAGGTGTGAGTCCACTTCCTGGGTGCCCAGCAGTTGGCCTGGGAGACATTTCTGGTCGGATATCTGATGTGTCGGGAGATACCTGTGTGCTGATCAGTCACTCTCACTCCTGGCTTGTGTCAAACAGCTGTGCGGAACCAAAGCAACCGCTTTGCCTGAGGCCCCTAGTGACAGCCAGCTACACAGATAGTGGGGGAAAGCCCTCGTGAAATGCTGTTCTTCACACTGAACTTCTTGTAACGTAACTGTATCTAAAGAGATACCTGGGTTCCCAGGGACTTTCACTGTTCTAACCCTTAAGAAATGCTGCTGTACCAGTTGGGACTTTTCCAAGTGATCATAGAATCATAGAATGCTTTGGGTTGGAAGGGACCTTGAGAGATCATCTAGCCCAACCCCCCTGCAGTGAGCAGGGATTGAACCCATGACCTTCTGTTGAGCTGAATCTTTTGATGGTTCTGCTTTGCTTGGAGCAAACGACCTAATTATGTTTTAATTTGCATTTTATACAACCTGAAATATCCATTTCAGTTTAACACAATTTTCAAAATGTTTTGAATAGTGTAGCCTATTCATTCAAAGCTATAAAACCTATTGATTCCCTATTTTCTCATAAGCTTCATTCATTTTAGTGAAACTCTTTCAAAGAGCTTAACCCAGTGTGTTTAATCTGGTTCAGTTCATATGAACCAAGAAGGTTCACCCTCGTCGGATGTAACTTACACAGAAAAGTACTGAGAGCACTGCTGCTGACATCCAGAATGGACATGTGAAATGTGTTCAAACAGCAGCATTACTCACCTTTGATCTCTTACAATCTTTAGAGGAGCTGTTGCAGAGAAACAGATGTGTAGTAGTTCCCAGTAGTAACGGTTCTGCATATTCTGAGGCTCCTGCCTAGCTATTGACAGAAGTTTTAGGAGTCAGCATTTAGGGAAATTGCTGCATGCTATGAACTAGGAGGAGGGAGCACCACTACCTGAAGTGAGGGGAACCGTGGAATCCAGCTGTTCTGCAGTTTGAGAATATGAACGTGTCTGCACCTCAGACTCTGTCCAGTTCCCCCCGAAGCTTATGCCAGCTCAGTCCTTGTGGCTGAGTGCTGAGTCTTACAGGCTGTGCTTTATAGTGCTGTGTGTGGATACCAGCCTTCACCTCAGCAGAACTTTGGTATTCTTTTTAAAGCTACATCTCTGATGGTGACTAGCTATTAAAATGATTAGTATGTGTGTAGAAAAATTTGTCCTCTGCTTTCTTAATCACTGGATGGTAACAGTGACAAATCAACTATCAACTTTTTGTCATATATAACTTTTTCTATTATGTTCATGGTGGAGACATTCCCCCATAATTAACTTGATGTTTTTTAAAGAGATAACCTAGTAGTTCAGACTACAAGCTGAACACAGTTCTAAAGATGTGAATACAGCAGTGCTGTGCAAGGAAAACAAAATATTTATTATTCAGGGTGACTTGGGAGCATCCATTTGCTTGGCTGGGTGAGGGGAGTGGTGGGATATTTCAGCTGTCTGGAGGAATTGCACAACGTAAACTGAAACAAGGTCACTGCTTAATGTTTTTCTTTGTGTTTCTCTTTCAGCTAGAGAGACTCAAGAGAGAATGCAAGTCCAAAAAGAATTCTGCTAAACAAATAAAAGACAGCAGGTCCCCTGTTAGTGAGGTTAAAGTAACAACTACAGTAACCACAAAAGGAAAGAATGCTGGTCCCATCAAAGTGAAACCTGGAGAGAAGAGTCGAAAAAATCTTCAGTTGTTGAGAGACATGCAGACCATACAGACTTCACTACAGAAGGATGATATCAGCTGGGACTACTGACTGTTCTACAGGAGATGTTCTTGACACCATCCCAGTCAAACTTCCTCCCATTCTGGATATAAAGCAGCTGCCTCCCTTGCTGTGTGAAAGAGACTACTGTATGCTAAGTGCACTTTTGAAATATGGGCCCTGAATTCTCCATCCCTGGGTCTGATTGTGTATATTATGGTCTAATTTAAAACACATTCCACTTTTAAGGTACCCAGCCACTGAATCTGAACATAGGTCTCCACCAGTTCCTTTTGTGTTACGGTTCCAGCAGTCCCTCCATTTTCTTTCCACGTTCATGTAGGTTGGCATGTGTGAAATGCCAGTGTGATTTCACACTTGTGGAACTGTGCATTGGGAGGCTTCACAAGATGCATCTTGTGGAAAGTGATGCTGCGGCCCAAAGTCTTAAGGGCTTTTGTCAGTTCTGTTCTGCGTGCAGCTGCAATTGCTCAAACTCTGAGAGTGTCTGAGGGAGAGCAGGTAGACCTGTTAAAGGTGTTCTGTGGAGCTCCCCTCAAAAAGCCTTCCTAGTTCTTGTTCAGTTACATGGCATTAGTCAGCGTTAATGGCAACGGATGTCTGAGTACTCAAAAAAGGAGCAAAATAACTTTTCCAAATTGTTTTGCTTAATGATGGATTGAATTCTTTTCAAGTCTGAAGACTGAAATTTTTCTACAGAAATCTTACTTTACGAAAAAGCTATAGATAGGGGATAATATCCTGTCTCTTAGTCCACAGCTTTGGGTGGTAAAGGAGCGAGATAAACCACAAGTGTTTTAAACTGCAAGTGCCTCAATCATGCCATTCAGTCCTGGCATCTTGCTTTTAACTTGAAATATGTGCTTTGAGCTATCTACTTGGGTAGTGGTGCAATTCATTTTGCACTCTGACTTGCACAGCTGAGTAAATGTTATTTATTATGTTAATAACGTAAAGACTTTCCTATTAATGGAATGTATAGAAGACCCAGATTACCCATTTTTACAGCTGAAAAATAATAAAGCCAGCTTGCCTGTTGAATGAATTGTGGGAAAGCTGCACTTCCTCTAAATTAACTTGATGTTTGCAGCACTGTGCCCCATCCAGTGAGCTTTTTGTGGTGAAGTAACATGTCCCTGGTCAGGGTGATGCATATGAGCTGCTAGCAAGCTGCAGGTGAGGTGAGGCTGAGAGCTGCCCACCCACAGGCAAAGGGCAGGGAAGGGTGGGGTCAACACAGGGAGAAGGGATTTGAGCTTTACTTACCTGTAGGTGATCCGCCCTGCTTGCCTCCGAGGCACAGAAGGTTTTAGCTGTGAAGGGAGAACTCAGAAGCTGTTAACCAGGCCTGGAGCCATCCTGCTTAACTTCATTTATGTTAGACATGGGCTCCAGGTAGCTGGAGTAACCGCTTGGAGAGCAGCTCATCCCAGAGGTTCCTAGAGATAGCAGCTGAAACGACCCTCAGTAATTCTGCCTGGGAAGGACCTCTGGGATCAGCTTGCTCAAAGATGAGTTAACTTCAGCATTACCTCAGGCTGTCCTCAGGCAGCTCCTTACTGATGGAGGGCTTAGGAGTATTTTAGGCTCTGTATGCGCTGCATACAGCTATTGAGGTGCCTGAGTTGGAGTTAAGCCCACTGGGGTGAGAGCAACAAGGAGCAGGCATTCAGTTGATCCCAAATCATCCCAGTGAATTTGCGCTTAACAAGAGTTACACAGAAAAATGTGAATCCTCCTTTTACACAGAAGTTACTATGCTAAAGCACTGTTAAAGTGCAGAAATTGTTTTGGTTTGGGGATTTTTTTTCTTTTTTTGTGAAAGCATTTTTGTAATACTGAGCAGCTAAGCACTGTATTTGTATTAATACTGGTTTGTATAGGATAAGAGAAACTTGTCCAAAGATTAATTTTGCTTTCTTGTCATTCTAAATTTCAGAGTGTAAACATTAGCATCTTGCAAGACCATCTGCAGAAGAATGAGAGATTTGGATTTGACATACTAAATTTTCAGTGCTATTTTATTAATGTTTTCACGTCCTACAAGTCCTTTGGAGAACCACATAGCTGCAAATAAGAGCACAGGAACTTTACCCATTTATCAATTTTTATTAGTGTTAAGGAAACCAAACAGCCTTCATCAAGAAACAAAATATACACAGTCAATTTGCTAATACGGAATAATGCTATGAACCATCTTACATAGTGATTGTACATAAGAGCAGATCCGGATTCTTTGCACTATAGAATTGTATGTCTCAGGCCACCCTCTAACAAATGCAGTGCTGCTGTAGAGCCTGTTACTCACTCTGTCAGAAGGTGGCTGTGGATTGCTGTGTAAGTACTGAGACACGGATTGGAGCAGAGCAGGAAGAGATGGAGACTGCAGGGGGAAATTGTTACTGCCTCAGAGGGAATGTGGCTTTTGAAAGTACTTAGCTGTTTGGAAGAGCAATGGGGCGGTCATGGTTTCATCAAGTATGTTTTTTATCTCCACTTCTACAGCAAAATTTGTATTAAAATTGAATTTGGACTTTAGTCAGGTGACACTAATTCTTGAAGTACGCCATGAGGAAAAAGACCTAAACATAACAGGGCTCAGAAACTGGCTAAGCTGTTTAGTCTACCAGAATAACCTTAAGCAGCAGTTGCAATGCAGGCAGAAAGGCTTCTTTGGTTGATAGACAGTTGCTTCCATTAGTTAACAGAAAACGGAAATATCTTAAGTACGCCACTATGATCCTGCACTAAAGAAGCATTAAAGTCACTAATTACGCTTACCCGAGCGACGCGAGAGGACTGATCCCAGCAGTTCACACGTGCCCCTTGGTGCTCCACTACCCTTCCCCTGAGGAGTACGAGGCACTGGAGGCCAGGGGCGCTGCAGGAAGCCCAGGGGAGCCATGCTCTGCTTCCCCCCTCAGACATAAAGGTGCTGAAGTTGCATCCTGGCACACCCAATGTAAACCATAAGTGAGACTCTAAAGTTGCAGAGATGGAAGTAAACTTTGTCCTACAATGTTACAGGTCATGTAGGTTGCTCCTCTACCACCATGTTTTACTGGTAGAAGCTGCCCTTTCTTTAAATAAGGCATCATTTGCATGGCTTCCTATGATCTAGATCAAAGTGAAGGGAAAAGCGAGAACAGTGATATGTTTCAGATGCTATCACTGTGTGTCTCTAAGATGGCAAATGCTCTTATTAACGCTGCTATGCAGATGTTAATAGCGGAGGGTTTCATGACTTTACGCCTCTATTCTAGGCTCCAATACAAAGCCACAGTCAGTATTTCCTTTTAGCAAAGGGAAGATTTTTCAAACTTCTGAGTAGACGTTTTTCCTCCACAATACTTCATTCTAGTGCACAGTCTGTCTTTAAAGCCAAGTGATTTCCAGCACATCAGTGAACAAAGAGCGAGCTCTAGGTTTCTTTCGGGTGGCAAGTGCAATTGGCTTGTATTAGAATCTAGACACTGAGAAGGTTAATTGCATAGGGGGCCTTGTTTGTTTGTTTTTGCTTAAGCTTCCTCTAGTGCTACAGTACTAATAAATTACCCTGGAGAGAAATAAATAAATAGGTTGGCATCTCCCAGACACCACGCTGGAAATCCAGAGGGTTTCAGAAAAGCTGCCCCTGTGGTCCTGGGAAGGTACTCGGCAAAAAAAAGTCTGTATTATACAACTGTCTGTACAGGAGCGACACACTGTGCGGGAGAGCCAGCTCTCTCCGAGGATGAGGTGGAACGGTTGGTGATTTCTCTCTGCAGTTCCTCCACTTTCTTCTGCAGCTCAGCCCGCTTGGCAAGAAGCTCCTTGTAGCGATTGTGGACAGGTTCCTGCAAGAAAACCTGCAGCTGAGTGCTGGGAGGGAAGAATCGAAGTGGAAGCCTGAACCACAAAACGTTGCCGCTGACCTGGCACACAGTGATGAGGGAAGGAGGGCAGTACGTGGGTTATATCACTGTCTCCAGCCCAGGGGCGAGTAGTTGCTCTGGCTTTGGGATACTCATTTTATCCAACACGCATAGTGCAATGGTGGCTAAACAAAACACTGTATATTTTGAAAGATGACAATTACAAAACTCTAATCTCTGACGTTTCTGGGGGACACCGGCCTTGGCATCTCAGTCTGGACATAATTTCAGGACTTTGAGGGCGGACAATACAGATTTATTGAAATATTTTCACATAGTTCTGACTGTTAAACAGTTAGTACTAGAAAGCATTTGTTGGGTTCCTGTATTTCATGCCCCAGATTTGCAAAGCTCTGTTAACTGCAGTTGGACATTGAGGCAATCCAGGAATTTTTGTCCCTTCCTATTAAAAAGTCATTTCAGCATTTAGGGCCGCATTCAGGCTGCTTGTCTCAGGCACCTGCCCTGGGCACGCCCGTTGCCCTGCTGTCAGGGTTCAAGAGCATAACAAGGGCTGCAGTCAGAGCCCCATGCCTTGGGCAGGCAAAGCATGCAGCAGGTTCCTGTTGCCAATAATCTAAATACAGCCCCAAAGCTCGGATCTAGAATCCCACATCCAAAGAAGTCTTAGGGTTTTAGGGTCTGTTGTAAAGAAGAGAAAATCCAGATGATTTTCCCCATATTTTAAGTGAGAAATTTTCTAAACTGCTCAGTATCTTCAGCCCCTGCAGATTTCACGAGGCAGCAACCCCCAGCTGAGCACCTGCACGAGCCAGCTGTAGGTGCTGCTCTCTCATGCACTTGCATTCAAATTCAGGCTTTTGTTTTTAGATTTAAGCAGTAACAGTGTAAGTTTGTACATTACTTCTTGTGTTTCCAAGGTCTCGGAGCTCCAAAATGACAGTATCGGTACTAGCAGAGAGGGAAACAGAAGCAGGATCCTTGGAAGAGACGTACCTGCGGTTTCATCCTGGGGTTCCAGCGGATGTAGTAGCCGACCCACAGCTCGAGGTGGCGCATGCTGGCCACGGGATAGAGGACGTGGTTGGTGTAGCTCACGTACAGGGGGTTAGTGAAGTCTTCCAGTTGGCTGTTGATGTAAGACCAAAGCGACACGGTCTTTTTTGGAAGGCTCTGCAACGGAAGGGGGTGGAGGAGGCTTTATTTCCCATACGAATTCCAGCATTTATCTACAAAGTATATATAACAGCATATACGTATATCTGTCATTAATACAGAGCTGGTTGCCTTTTTGTAACTTAAAAAAAAAAAAAAAAATTCTTTTGATGTGGTTACTGTAATCGGAGCACACAGATGCAGGCAGGCACACACGCACTGTGGCACGGAAACATCCCCTCTTACCCACCCAGCTGCCAACACAGACCAGGAATCACCATTGGCACAGCAAGGGGACGCTGGCATGCGAACTCTCAATGCTTTAGTTAAATTTCACCTCTTTAAAGTGCTCCTGGAGGACTTGCTGGAGTATTTAATTGCGGGGAGGGGGGAGGAGAAAGAAAGAAAGAAAGAAAACATTTGACTTAGCCCTGATCTAGCAGAATAATTAGGCCTGTGAATAGTCCCAGTGAAACCAGTGTTGAAGTGCTTTCTAGATTGAATACTTCACAAGGCCTTAAAAAAAAAAAAACCCAAAAAACAAAAAAACCCCAATACCCACATGCAAACAGCACGCAGGTTTTATTCTCTGGAAATTACAATTATTCAATCATTGTGGACTCTAGAGAAACAGGGACCCTGATTTCACTACAGTACAATGCTATCACTTCTGCATTACAGCAATTTTTTTTTTCATTTAACTGATGTGCTGTCAAATACAATCACATCAGATCCACACAGCACTGTCCTCAACATAAGTCTGTGATGTTAGGCTGCAACCTCTTGGTGACAAAGTGCTTCAGGTTTAGGTAGGTGAGACAGAATGAGTGTCACTGCTTTTCCTTCTGATTCCAGACCGGGTCTGAATAGGGTAGTGTTTGAGTGGCCTGAATGTACATATCTATACGCTCCACCCTTGGCAAACAAACCTCAACCAGACTGCAGGGCAGAGCTGGCTGGTGGCAGGACCTAGAGGCATGTCCTTCCTCATACTAGCAGCTCTGTCCTCTCCCAGAAAAATGCAAGCACAGCAAGAACACACACTGAGACCAGTTACTTGCTGAAACCTGTGTGTGTGCAGAATGACAATATACACTTGGTAGTTAAAATCAACCTAATGGGACCACTGCAAGGAAAAGGGAGGGCAAAAAGGTACCAGTTTCCACAGAGAAGGTTACATTAAACTGGAGTTCAAAGAAAAATTGCATTTCCACCTACTTGGGAGACACCAGGAGCTATTCAGCCACCAGAGAGTAGCTGAGAGCCATGCTGAAAGCAGTGGGACTATCCAGAAGGAAATGGTATAGCTCTGAAATGTGAAGTCTCCAACAGAGAGCAGTTTGCACAAGGAAGAAAATACCCCGTCCCCCAGCTGTTAAGAAGAGGGCTTGGCATTACCCAGACCAGCATCCACCACTACCTTTGAGTGCTGAAACAACTTCACTAGCATTATCTGGCCAGCTAAAGCAATCACAGTACCATGCCTTCACCTTGGAGAGAAGCTGTCTTACCTCCTTCACTCTCTGCTGCTCACTGCTGCACAGGAAGGTCCCAAACAAACAGCTGTACAGGTGATCCAGGATGGTTATCAGGAAGTACTCGTTGAACTCAAATGCTGTAGGAAACTTCAGACAGAATCAGAAAATTAGGTTGGGATTTTAGAACAGTTTTTAAACTTTCTCCCACTTTGTGGTCTTGGTAAGGAGTTGGCTTCTCTCCTTTATTTCTAAACCAGGATTTGTCTCTGTTCTTTGCCTGGCGGAATATTCAGGATCATATTTGCTCCTGCCAGGAGCAAGAGTTTCTCTCTTGGAAAGCTGCTTTACATGCGCAGAGAGGAATTTTGAGCAAAAGCCAGAGGTCTGAAGGTTTTGACCACTGTGTTTATAGACACTCAGTGCTGCTCCAAGTTGAAGCTTGCTCTGCTATGCCTGCCCCTAATGACAGACGGTGCAACAAGACTGTGAACAAAAGGCTGAAGCATATGTGAAACAATGCATAAAAAGAAATGGAAATTTCCCAGGGCCAAATGGAAATAACCTGTGTGTGCAACAGAGCACTTCCACGAGGGAACAGCGAGGCAGCGGGAGGAACACGTACATGGGTAGGGGCTGTGTTTGCTGTTGACGTTCCATGCAGAAACGATCAGGCCCAAGACAGGCAGAGCTGAAGCTCCACAAAGGGTCAGTAAGAATACACGCAGTGAACTGCAAAGACACACTGGAAAGGAGAGCAGGAGGCCTTCCTCCCTCACAAACCACCCTCCTCTTCCCAGGCTGCTCTAGTTGCAACACCCTGACCTCACCAGCAGGTCAGCATGCCTGCTCTTAGGAGCAATCCAAGGATAGCACGATGAAAGTGACTTTTGATGATGGTAAAGCCTCCTTCTTTCTCTGTTTGGACACAATACAGCTTCCTATATAGTGGCATCCTTTCCCATTTCACCTATTTTAGTCCACGACAAGCCTAATTTTTTCAAAGGCCTACCTGACCATGGCTGACATTTGCTTAAAATGCAGCACAAAGGTCACAGCAGACACGAAAAGCATTCCAGGTCCTACATACCCGGGGGAAAAACCTCCCAGGCATAAGGTACCTCTCCTGAACTGTGCCTCTGCCGTGCTTGGTCTGAAACAAGGACCTCAGCTCCTGGCTGCAACAGCTCTGTACATCAAGTATGAATCAGGAGCAGTATGTTTGCTTCAGAAGAAGCTAAAATGGAGCAAATGCAGGTCCTCCCTGCAGGTTTGGTTACAGGATCAGTGTGAGCAGAGGCAACAGGGATCTGCATGCACCCAGCACGCTAGAGACTTACATTAGCAGCTCAAGTCACTTATGCTTCTGAAGGCACAGTGGGCTAGTGAGGGTGGCTGGGGTGTCTGTTCATGCCCATGATAAATGTGAGGCAGCTGTCCCGTTTCAGGGTGAGGCAAGCTTCTTCTCACAAGCTCACATTTATTATAGCAGCATGTATGTAAGCAGCACCCACTAACTAGCTAACCTGATGCAAGCCAACATCGTGGCCTTCCTGTGCACTTGTGCATTCAGGCTCTTTGCTAAACAGACTCCCAAGAAACTTGTTGCCAGAGTCAAGAAGAGAGTAGAAGTCCAGGAAGCCTGTGCAGGTCAGCTTGGAAATTACTCCTGTGGCCAGACACTGTGCCACATCTTGGTACAGTGGCTTTGTGGACACGTGTGCCACCCAGCAATTTACCTGTCTTGTCATTTGCCAGACACAGTCAATGAACTGGAGGAAGACAGGAGAGCGATCCGCATCTGCATGATTCTTATCTCCGTGGCCAACTCTCTGAAACAAAGAACATGAGTCACATGGGGCTTCATGGGGAAACGGCTGGGGTCTCATCTCAGTCACCCAAGCCTTTACCAACAGCTTTAAGAAGGTTCAAATGAGTCCTGATTTTCCTTTGTCCATATCAGTGGGTAAAGGAGTAAAGGACAGCTACTCCCTTTGTCTTTGAAGTGAAATTTCTTTATGGGGATATTTTCATGCTAAATTAAAACAAGAGTTGTTTCAGTAGAGGCTCCAGATGCTATGCTGGCACTGATTTCAGCTAATAGCTGAAGTTCAGAAGGAAAAAAAAATGAGAATGCTTTTTGCTCCAGTTGCAGCTGTCATCCTGGCTACTTCAGTAGTACAGTGTGCTAGATCTAAACACTACCTACAGGCACGGCATGTGGTGATAACCATCACACAACACCTCGCAGCTTCCAAGTGCTGTACAAACACTAACCCAGCCCATCTCCTGCCACCTCAGGAGAGGCAGTGATGAAAGTATCCCCAGAAGTAGGCCTCCAACCCTGACCGTGCTGTGTGGCCTTGGATAAGACATGTGAGGCCTGTTTCCTTATAACTAGTATAGTATGTAACTGGTTATATATTACCCAGGAGTCCTAAGTACTGTACAAAGACAGAATAAGAACATGTAAGTAACAGAGATCCCTTCCTTTTCTGTAATACTGTTCTCCCCTCACCAAAGGAAATCAGTATCATTATCTTCTTTGTATAGACAGAGAAACTAAAACACTCACAGTTCAAACACCAGATAAATTTTGCTGCAGCAAAACCTCAGTTGCTCAGAGCCTCAGTTTCCCCACCTTCATCAGAGCGTTTGACTATGCAACCCACCATCACGTGTGCTGTAAGCAGACCTTGTTCTAGCCCTTGCCAAAATTCAATGACCACAAGAGAACAGCTACAAGCAAAACACAATAGGATCAAAGACTGAAAGGATACTACTGAAAGGCTCTCTCAATTCCCATCAGTGCAAACCGTAACAAACTGCTGTGTCACAGGTCCACAAGTTGCCTCTCTGCCGACTCTAAGGACACAACCACAAGCTACTCTTGGTCCAGTCTCAAACTGCTGATCCTTTACCTAAACAATTAAAAGCCTCCCCAAAAATAAAATGTGACTGAAGAAAATGTGAGGTCAAGGCCATAACCAAATTCCCCAGCCTCTTCAATACCAAGGCATTTTTTAGATGATGGTGTCCAAGCAGTCTCACAAAATGGACTGAACTGGAAAGACAGACAAAAAAACCCACCCCAGTGGTCCCTGCCAACTCCCAGCAGAAATGCCTATCCTGAACCCAACACACACTCTTAGTTTAAGCCTAAGCATGGGAACATGACATATCAGTCAGGCACCTGAGACATTTAATACCACCTGTTCCTCCTATCTAACCTCTAAGGAGGTTGAGAGATGACTGGAATTATAGGCAGAAAACAATAACAGCAGCATTCACCTTTCTTCTGCGATTTCAGCTGGGAGACTTCTCACAGGAAAGGCTAAACTCCTTTGAAATCCTTCAAGGTGGACAATAACTTTCTGTTCAGTGCCTTCCAAGGGCTAGTGACTCACCAGCTGAAATCTGTGGCCGAAGCTCAGCCACTCCTTCTCCACTAGCACTTCAAAGCCCCTGATAGTTCGGTAGTAGCCATCTAACATGAGCAGAGAGAGAGAGGTGAGCTGGGCTGTCCGATCCCAGCCATCACTGCAGTGTACAACCACAGACGTCTTCCCTGACTCCACCTTGTCAGCAATCCGAAGAGCTCCAGCGAGAATGAGCTAGGACAAGGAAAAAAAAAAGTTACAAAATCTCTTTGGAACAGAAACTATAAATGAAAAATGGTTAGTGACAACACAGGACAAACCAAGGGCTCTGTCTGCCTCAAGGAGAATGGTAAATCAGTTCCAACTACTTTATAACTAGGACAGCAAATTGGTGAACACATTTTTTGTTCCAGCAAGATGACAACACATCTAAACTGTAGTGTAGGCACAACTCTAGAAGAGCCCTTGCATTAAGGGCTTAGTCCTTGGACAGGTCAGGGTTTAAATACAGGAGCATTCTGTGTCTGAACACAAGCACAAAATGGCCATCGCCTTGCAACTGCCCCAGGAGCAGATTTGCCCCTGCCTGCATCAGCAGGTCGACAATGTAAGCTGAACATTTTTAGGAGAGAAACAGCTTAATTTGAAAACCAACATCTGTAGAAGCATTTTGTCCCACTCATTCTGACTCTGCTTGGATTCCTGAAAGGCTGACAGGGCACGAACTCCCCAACATTTGCTGGTCTGGACCAGGCAGTAACACCAGGATGTTGAGGATCCCTGAGTCAAGAGCTTGGAAACTCTGGAACTCCTGTGCTCTAACCAGGGCTTCCACAGTTCCACATTACCCAAGAACACACTTCACTTCCAAAACACCATGTTGCAGTACTTCAGCACCCTCTCTTGTCCCTCTTCTCATCTCCTCAAAATTCCCCATTCCATGAAACTGTGGGTTTAGTTTTTAAATTGAAAACAAATTGTAAGTCTTTAAATTTCTCATTAATTGAAAATCCAGCACTGGAATTAGCTCTGGATACATTTCCCAGTGAACAGACTGGTACGGACTTGTGGTTACTCAGCCACATCCAGCGGATGCAGACATGCATACCTTGATATGCTCTAGCCAGTGAGTTGACTCTAAATTAGACAGCCAGTGAGTCTCCTCGATATTGGGATACACAATTTCTTTCAGTTTTCTCAGGGACTCTCTCATAACATGAATATTGTGAATGTCCAGGAACACCAATTCTGCATTCTGATAGGCATCCTCGCTCTCATAGCCCCCTCCTTTAGCCTGAAGAACAAAATACACATAAAAATCATTAAGCAAAAACATATTTTATATTTTATCCCAATCGTTTGTCCTGAGCAAATATCAGCTGACAAAATACCACAGTGATTGTACTATCTAAAGCAGGCAGAAAACATTGGATTTATCTTACAACTGGGAACAAACATGTACACACATACACACTTTGCGTCTCTTTCCTGCAATAGTAATGAATGCTATAATTTTTACCAAAGAATATCGCATTACAAGCCCTCTTTTTCTCTGTAATTATCATTTATCCCGATTCAAGCCGCTAGCTCATTAGATTCACTATTCTGTCATTTACAAATTCACCATACTATTATAGAGGAGTATATCCCACACACTAATTGCCTTTCCTAAGTAGTGGGAAAGACAGATTAAAAAAAAGAAAAAAAAAATCAGCTTTAGTGCAACAAAGCAGTTCTACCGTTAAAACAGGTCTTAGAGTGATAGCATAAGACATAACAGCAGGAGGAACAGCAACATTCCTAGACATTAAAGATCCCCAGCTTATATTTTGAAATTAAAGATCATGACGCCTGATTTTCAGAAGTGCCGAGTAACCCGTGCTCCCATCTGGGCTAACAGGGACAGAGTTCTGGTGCTGTTAGAGGAAGCAGTCTTTCAAAGATGTGAGGAAAAAGTGGTGATACACAAAATCCAGACTGCTACAGTTTGACGTCAGTACTACTTTGATTTTTTTCCCCCTGTTCCAATCTCATTTCCTACTGTAGATTAATCCAAATGGACCTTTACTAGTCACACTGATACCTTGCAGATACCAGTGCAGGTGTTAACAGTCTGTCTAGAGAATCAGATCGTTGCATATGATTCCCTTTCATAGTGGGAAAACCTTTGTGATCCTCAGGAATAATTTCAAATGGTGGTAGGAAATGTGCTCTAAATTATTACATTCCCAGCTTTAGACAGAGGAAAAAGCACCTGACCTTATTGGCTACAGCATTCACACTAGGCCTTGCATCAAATATGAAGATTTTATGGGACTGAGCATTAGAATCCATGATGGCTTGAAGGTACTTTTCATCTTCCTTGCTTCTCTTGCCACTCACTCCCACCATTGGCTGGCTACAGCGAGTGATCGTTGCTTGACTTTCTGGGTGAATCCATGACAACACCTTTGGAAAAAAAACAAGAAAGAAATGAAAGAAAAATGGGATTCATTAAACCAGTGAAGTGTTTTACCTGTAATAGCTTGCTCTGGGATCCTGCCACATATTAGCTGCTTCGAGAAGGCTGGATTCTATTAAATCACAATTGAATGAAAGAAAGAACACTTCCGTCCTTACTCATTCATTCTCATGGCATTCCCAAAGTTTGAACAAACAAGAGGTGACTGAATAGGTTTAAATCTGACTTTTAAATATGATGCAGACTGTTTTCTTGCTGTTGTGTGAGTCAAACACACTTCGCTCTGCAATCATTGGGCTATGTCTTACTCTACATTACACCATGTAAAAGTTAAGAACAGATTTCATTTTCTATTGACTTGAGAAGTAACCCAGTACATTTTCAGTTACCACTGAAATAATCATCATAACGATGTGTTTTGTCTCCATTTCAATAATAAGCATTTTCATCAAGACTGTCACTAAGTATTCCTCTACCCTGAAAGTCAGAGTAGGCCAGACAATTGTAAACAATGAAATAGAGTGGCTTTGCATTTCCCAGGAACTGAACTGAGATTAGGTCTGGGCTGTGCTAAGTTATCTTCTCATTTTGGTTTAGTTTACATCTCTTTCACAACAGTAGTTCCAGCAGATGATGTTGCTTTCTAACTCCTCAAACATGTTGCTGTCACTTTTATTGACCATTTATTTGCTCCCTGGAATCCACTCAGCCTGATCTTGGTATTATTTATGGCCCAAAGGTATGTAACAACACCACATCAAAGTGGCTTCTTTTGTCACACTCACTGGTATGCGTCCTCTTGATCTGAAAGACGCTACTCTCTTTAATTCTTCATCAGGAATGTTTACAGGCACAGCTAGAATGGCAGGGTATGTATCACACAGCTCATAGCGCTCATTAATCTTGGTCAACCTCCAGCTTTCATTGGGAATTCCCTAAAGAGGAAACAACAGCAGGTTAGCAAATGAGTTGCTCTGAGACCTCAGCACAGTCAAATCCCCAGACCTGAAATTCAAGGCAACTTCTGTTAATGAAGGACATTTAGGGCTGGAGCCTGGGACTGCATTATCCTGGTAACTTGCATTTCATGCCTCTTTCCAGAGAGGTAGATGTTTTGCTCAGGTCACTGAAGAACAGGAAAACTAGAAGACTGCAAGCAGGCTCACCTAAGGCAAAGGAACTGTTGAGGCTACAGATGTCGCAACACAGGTGATGCCCTGAGAGCATCTTTAACATACCTCCTGGTCTCATCACGGTGCTTACAGGAGAGCCAGGAGCAGCACAGAACAGGTGACCAACAGTCCTCACTCGTCTCTCAGCACTTAGCTCAAATATAGTGCGTGGAAACTGGGGATGGAAAGTGGAGTAACTAGACAGGATGGAGGAGAAGACAGAAGGGAGAACAGGCAGTAAAACACCCCCAAAAAAATCAATCTGTTTTGGGCCTTGTTCAGCATTTGTGGCACGGCTGTGCAATCTCCTTAAAACACCAGAAACCTAATAATTGTACGTCTGGCTGCGTGACTGTATGTGATCTGGACAGTGATATGCAACTCCCATGTTCCTCTCAGACTAAGCTCTCTGGTTGTACTAGTCTGACTTGGGCTGGGAGAGCAGGGAACCTACACACGCACACACGTCACCAAGCTCAGCATGCCCTGCTGGGGAAGCAACTTAACATCTTCCCAGATGATAACCTCCAGGTAACACCCGAAGCACAATGGGGACAGATCCTGACAACCTGCAGACTTAGTTTGGTGGATGCTGGGAGTTAACGGTGTGGTTGCTATTGCATGTCTGCAAGGAGAGATTTAAACAAGACATGTGCTGCAGCAGGGGTGAGCGCTGACAAAAAGCATCTCTGTGGGGAAGACAGATCTACGACAGTGAACATGGCCAGACTGTTAAGCAAAGAGTCTGATTTAGAGGAACATCAGTTCTTAATACATGCTTCTGTTCTCATAAACAGTACTTCATTTTACGGAGGGTGGTGGGACACTGATTACCACTGTCGCAGCTCCCACAGGAAATAAATGACAAATCTAACACAAGTCAGACGAGCTGTGGTAATTATGGTTGACCCACACAGACTGCAGCCGGTCCCCTGTCAGCGCAGTGAGTCATGCTGTCAAAACAGGTCATGGTTAGAAATACAAGGAGAGGACAGACCTTCTGTCTAATATTGGTCACACCCTGCTTGTGAACCACCCCTGGTCCTGGGGCCCTCCCTGGGAAGGAAACGTTACTACAAGGAATCAACAGAGGTGCCAGGATCACAGGTACCCCAAAACCCTAAAGGAAAGCTATTTTTGGCGCTGCCTGAAGCCAAAAAAGTGGCAGAAACAGCCATCAAATAGTGTGTATACACAGTCCAAGCTTACTGATGAGTAAAACATGCTCACATGTCTACCAGCTTTACACAGCAAGGATGGAATCTCCTGGGTCCACCAGGTCTGTTGTCAACCAGGGAACAGCAAGACTCTTGCTCTTAGCTGTCCATCAGCTGTGATCAAACTGGTTACTATCTGGAAGTGAACTAATCGCAAATGACTAAATTGTTCTCAGTCCTGTCCTAGTAAGTACACGACTGCAATGGATCCATCAGCAACGCTTGGAGATTTCGCGTCCTCCAAATCTGAATTAAAACTACGCTGGTGGCACACTCTTGGCAAGGAAAATGGGAGCTGACAAGCAGTTAGGTGGAAGAAAAGCTCCTTTTTGTTCTACCCTGCAACTCTACCAGTGCTCACTGAGACGATCAAGCAGTTACCGGCACTATAAAGCACCCTCTTCACAGTGCTGGGCAGAACGGCTTCAGCACACACTGCTCAATCCAGAACTGACACCTCCAAAGCTCTAAGTCTTTCAGCTGCCACCCTGACAAATCTGAAGGAAGTCTTTCCTTTGCAATAGCCCAGACCAGGAAAATCCATGACAAGCCCTCAGAGAAAGAAAAGATGCTGTGCGTTGGCATTCAGATTTCCTTTGAATCACAACGAATGTCTGCTTTCCACTGGCACAGGAGCCTTGAATCACAGCACCACCCCAAGAGGGCTTTGGATTCAGATCGTGACTTTCTCTATGGACTCGAAACAAGCAGAAATAAGCAAAGTAGGCTAGAGGAGGAGCTGAATTTACATCTTCCCAGGATGTCTGCCATGATGCAGTGTAGCTTGTGCTACATGCTCCTTCAGATTTGCACTTTCTCCAGCTGGAATCAATAGAAAAAGCTAAACATGATATAAAGCACATTGGTATTTCCTCATATAAGATGCATTTCACTGCTTCCTGGAAACCTGTAAGCACCCAAAAGCCTACTATCAAACCAACCCAAGCTGTTACAGATGTAACTCAAGAAGCCTCTGCAGGCTCAGGACCAGCTCTGGGAGCCGCCTGCCTGTGCACCTGCAGGAGGAACCCAGGCATGCCGCGCTGACAGCAGGTGTGATGGTCCACAAGCTGCACGGGAACATGGCTGCTGGGTGTCCACATTAGTGACCAGAGCATGCTGCCCTGACTCGTGCACAAAGTCTGTCTTCTCCACGTAAACTAACACTGCTAGTAGACCCTGATTTCAGGAGAACTCACATATTTGGTTGCTCCAAGAGGGCAAAGTGAGAAAGGCAACATGACCACATCTGTAGTCATAAATTAAATGTGCCCGTGACCGTTCCCACTGAGACCAGCTGGCACAGCACGCCTCACATCCACACTATTGAACTCGTTTATTCTCAAAAGAGGGCGGTTTGTCTGAACTGCCTACTGGTCATGCTTGGCTTGCACCAACCTCTGAACTGTGCCCAGGTTTGGCAGGAGGCAGGCTGGCCAGCAGCCCTCCCCTTTCTCTACTCCACAAGGGCCCAACTGCCTCTTCAGGTCCCAGCTCTGACATGGCCCAGCTGCACAACCACGGCTCAGACCGCCATGGACACTGCAAAGTGATGCGAGAGAACTCTGTGAAAATCTATAGAAAGGCAAGAAATGTAAAACTGCAGACAGAGGAAGAGGATTGTTGAGACGGGGATCACTGGTAGCTCAAGGTTGAAAGGGAAAACAACATCATGAAATCGTATAAAATCCAAAAGGAAAAACTGCGAGTCTAGTAGGTAGTCACTGGGTGAGGGCCAACAGCTGGCTCATCTGTGTAGTGGTGTTGACATTACTGGTGGAAGATGGCAACAACAACCCAACTGAGGGAGGTGTAGACGCTAATCCTTCTCCTTTCACCAGTGCCTGCCTGGCCAGGAATGTCTCTTCAGATGCGTTCTCTGAGGTAGTGAGTACTAATGCTCAGTCTAGTAACCAGTTAAGTCCCTGCTATCTTTTTTGTGTGTCAGCCAGTAAATAACTGCTTTATACTTTCAACCTGCATACAACCTGCTGGCAGAGTGTCTTCGTACATGGCTAAAGATGCTCAAACACACTCACTCAAAAGAGGGACAGTAACAGCCTGGACTGAAGCTATGCCTGGAACCTGCGATGAAGGTGCTTGGGAACACTCCTTACGAGTGTATCATCTAACTGTAGAGACGCAGCCTTTGTTGTCATCTCCACATGCAAACCAGACTTGTTTTCCCTCTGGACAGCCATTCATGCCTTACTTTAACGACCTGTGCTCAGTTACCACTTGACCTACGCACATTGTAGAAGATGGGAGTTTCTTCGTTTGCAGGGAAAAACTGTTGAAGATGCACCAGCATGGCACTGAAACCACAACCTTGGAAAGCACATGTTTAAGCTTAAGCACATGAGGATCTTTCACTGACAGGGAAAAAATAACTTCCTTGCTGGAACTACACACAGTCACATCTCTCTATGGGATCCAGTAGACCAACTCTGAGCTTAGCCACGCAGGTACGCCCTGAGCTGCAGCAGGCAAGGCAGAGAAGGTCCTGAGTACACACCAGCAGTGCCTCTCTCAAACTTGATTTGAGCTGTGAGTTACCAAGAGGCTGAGCACATTAGCTCAGGTGCATCCCTACACCAACCCAGGATACAAGCTGCCACAGCCAAGCTGGTCCCTCTGAAGTGCACTCAGCCCAAGTTGTGTCCACTTACTGCAAGAGAGCTGTGATCCGTTTTGCAGTAGAGACATACCCAGCATAAGCAGGTAAACCATGGGACATTTAACAGTTCAATTCTCATTTTACTCCCCTAAGTCACACCCAACAATCCTCTGCAGGATGCTGTTCTCATGCTCTACCTTTCCCATGCTGGCTGTATACTAATGCTGGGCACTTCTTTTATCCTCAAAACAGGTCAGCTCCTCTTCTGAATTATTAATTTTTATATGATTTCTCTGAAAGCAGCAACCACAGCCCTACACTGTGGCTCCCTGGTACATACAACCAGAGCATAGGATTAGACGAGCATGACTTCTGTAGGGAAACATCATACATTTCCAGCTTCACAACATCTTGTAATATTTTCCAAGTGCTCCCCACCTTGTTAAGCAAAATGAAAGCTTTAAGTTACTCCAAAGGCATCTCAAGGCCTTTTGGTTTCAACTGAGTCTTATTCACTTCGCAATTCTGTTTTATACTCTGCCAGCCCGCGTGTAATAAAAATCAGGGAGCAATTCAGTTTTAAATTTCATTTGCCACATGTGATTCCATTTACCGACTAAATCCCAAACCTCTCTGAGTTCCTTTTGTTCTCTACAGGTTGTTTATTACTCCCCATAGTTTTACACAATCACAGATTTTTAATAAGTTACATATTTCCATCTTTCCCGAGAATGCTAGCAGAGAAGTCAGGGGTTTACTGAATATCTTTCCTAATTGCTACAATCTCTATCATACCAACATACTTATATTAATCTGAAAAAAATTATAATAAATAAAACATACTACCACATGCAAACTTGCCATGTCTACCAGCACATAGATCTTACCATGGATCCTACTCTAAAATCTTTTCTGGATGCCTGGTAGTTGGCTTCTACTTTTGCACTGCTCCCCTCTCTCCGTGTCCCTGGTCCCACAGGGAGACGACTGACCTGGCCTAAGATACACCAAGTTAATGCCTGGCCGTACTGCTGGGCTGCTTATGCCCTAGGCCAGCTCTTCTCTAATAGTTTTTAAACCAATTCCAAAAGATCCTGCAGATAGCGCATATGTCCTGCTTTTCTATTTCTGATCACAATTCATACAGTCAGAGACAGGTAATCCCATTATCTGATTTGATGATGCCAGTTTTGTTTCACTGTTAACGAATCCCTGGTGCCATTTCAGGACATAACGCTGATTTACTGTAGTACTTGTTATTGCTTTAATAGAACCTGGTTGGATTAAGAAAAAAGGCTAAGACATTCACACAGATAAATTGAACATCCATAGTTATAAATGCTGAAATTAAATAAACAGACTGAAATACCTAAAAGTTTTGGAGGGGACATGAAGCTTCATGCTGCAGGACCTAAATCAACTCTAATGAAAGGGATAAAATTCTCCTCCTGGCCAGATCACAACGTAAACATCTACTGCCATACAGTTTGCCTCTTCAGCAGCTGGTGTTGGTCACTTCTGGAGATAAGCTACTGGAACAGATGGATTGCGTGGTCTGGAATGGGAATGACTGTGACCCATCATGGGTAAAATTCAGATAGGTTGTGGCTGCAAAAAATCCTGGTTTGGATTCATTTTTGCAGTTACCAGTGTAAGCAAATGATGGAGGGCTTCTGCACACGGACATCAGTTAGGTTTCTTGGCATAAAAGCAGTCAGGCTAAGTTTTTCCTGTCCGCTCAAAAATGATACAAAAGCAGGTCATAACAAAAGAAGTGCATGCTGCAGCAATGTCTCGATCGTGACATGCTTTACACACAACAGTGCTACCTCATGTGAGCAGAAACAAAGACACCACAGCCCAGAGTCCCATTTTCTTTACAGAAAGGCCATGGAGAACTGCAAATCACATGCAGGTAAATACATGTATCCTTTCACTGTGTAACCAAGCTCCTGCCAAATCTAAGGTATGCAATCACAATATAAAAATTAACATGGATAGAAAAGCTTGTATTCTAAAAACAGACGTGCCAGGATTAAGAAATCGGGATAATTTACCTTGAAATTCTCAAGGGTCACCCTTCCTTCTTTCCACATACTGCAAGAAGGTCTTTTGTACTTCATCTGTTTTAACTGAAGCTTGGCTAAGTGAATGCTGTGCTTTTCAACAGAGATTATTTTGATAGCACAGGTATTCTTTAGTCTTTACTCCAGAGTTCTCAGTCCTGTAAAGAAGCATCTTTCCCATACAGCTTGGGCTGCAGATCCTTCTTTATAAATAGATCTTTCCTTAAAATAACTACCAAGAAAGAGGCAAATTCTAAACAAAGCAATAATCGCTGCATTACCTGGTCTTATTAGTCAAAGTTGACCTTAGATACTATGCATATCATTGATTACAAATGATTGGAGTTTGTCTCTACTAGGATTTTAGATTGTGGTATCTCATTGCAAAACATACACTTTTTTGCAATGAAGACAGCAGAGGTAAGATATATCTCACTTTCAATTAGCAGCCTAGAAGCCAGCGATCTATCTTAGGCAGCTATTTTAGGAGGGAACAAATCACCCCCAACAGTGAAGCTCTCTCTCCCCATCTGTTAATGACAGGCCTACATAACCAATTTAGAAGGCGTGCCCAGCTTTTAGAAGACTAAAGCTAGGAAAATTAATCCCTTCCTTAGGTTTTGGATGTCAGGAATCAGACGAACAACTAGGCTAGGACAGATGTCTTGTTTTGGTTTGCTTTATGGGAAAAACCCAAATAAATCTTTAAATTACATGGCTGTAAATGTCTTAATTTTACAAAGGAAAATTGGTTTTATCCTGGCAGGTCTGGATGAGACAGAAGTTTACTGCGTCCAGGGCAAAACTTACCAAATTTGCTGCTTCCTCAACTTGAGAATTTTATGACAAGAGTGATTTCATTATAAACCCCAAAATTCTCCCATCTTTTCCCCCAGGGAAGACCACTCAAGTTTTTATTGCAGTATTCCTAATTGACAGCCTACCACTTCACGATCATTAACACCTTTGACCAGTCTACTCTGGACACACTACAACTGTCTGTTCCAAGCTATGGTTAATCACAAGACTCTCTATGTTGATCCTACGCTGATTCCCAGGAAAAGGAAGGCATTCTACATTTAATTTTTTTTTCCTTCCAAGTTCCTGTTTGTAATATCTTACAGAAAAATGGAAAGAATTAAAACTGATACAAGCAAGAACTGAGGTGTGAAACTCAACAATGGGATGTCTGCACCCACAAAACACATCCTCCGTTCCTCACTGCCAGCAGTGGCTGATGACTAAGACAGAGCAGTAGTTTTTTCTACCAAAGCCTAAAGTCAGCTCTCTGCAGCCTAAGTAATCTCCATCAGCGGGTGCTACTATCTCTAAAGCTGTACTGCTGTCATCAATCACTGCAGTGTGGAGAACAATGTCCTAACCCAGCCTGCACAACATTTGTCAGCAGGACCATTCTCTACTCCATGCGACCTGTAATTACATTACTGCACCGAGCCTCCCTTCTGAAGAGTAGAGAGGATGAGGAAGGACATGGCACAGTACCCACCTGTCTTCTGTACTCCCAAATGGGGTCATACACCTTCCATCCATTTTCTGGGAAAACCTCTTTGTACTCAAATGCAAAAAGTGGCTGAAAGATAGAAAATTTACCATTAAGAGCCCACTCAGAGCCCATTTCCAGGATGTTTGATATCTCAAATAACAACTTATGACTGGTGCTTCTTTTTCTCCCCACTGCATGACTTTTCCTCTAGGGGTTTATGAAAAATATCAACATGCTTACTGTAGCAGGTAATTAGTACACCAATGTACTTTCCTCTATACCCTTGATCTTGCTTGTCTATTACCTAGTACTTCATGGACAAAAGGAGTTTATTATTAAGTAGAAAGAAAAGACTACTTGGGCAAGAATGCTTTTACATATTAAGAACTAGATCCTTTCAACCTGTATTTGAAGAAACAATTGCAGTGTTGTAACACAACAGAACAGATGAACTGTGTTCCAGAACTGGGAGCAGTGCAGTCACCATTAGCTGTAAACCTCTGATGGATGTCACTGTGCTTTGAATATTTTCCCTCTGGTATGAGGATGTGAGTATCAATAAGTTATTTGCCATGCATGAAGTAATACAGCCCCACAGTAGTAGACTTCTTCTGTTTCTATACCATCTATATTCCTACAGAATTAATTCTAAGACAGATTTAAAAAAACAGCATTTCTCTTCCTTCACCAAATGCACCCCATGTGAACATTGTACCAGGTAGATGGGACTGAACAAAACAGCTTACTGCCACTCTCTGTCTTTTCATAACAACTGAAAAAAAAAAAATACTTACCAGATTATTTGAAACTGGGAAAGCATATTTCATTAGGTTCTCAAATATGGATCGTCTGGTTCTCCCTTCAGGCTTATGAGCAAATCGCAAGTTTCGAATATCCTAGGAAAAGAGAGGGAAATTGGATTGCAGATTTCCAAACCACTTCAACATCCAAAGAAACTCTGAAAGCCAGTATTCAAAACAGAGTCACATGACAATGCTCTTTCTAGTACTGACTTAGCATCCTACTTTGAACACTGTTGTACTGCAACTCTGGGCTTGGTTCAGTGGTCATCTGCAGCCTCCAGCAAAGCCTGCCACAACTGCAGAGGAGCAGAGGCAGTGCACAGGCATGCCTGACCAGTGGCATCTTGCCACTACATGAAGCTTTCTACCTGCTGAAAGTCTAGGGGAGAGCCCTGCTCAGGGACAAGCTATCTCTGACCAGCAAGACTTTGTGAGACAGACCTCCTAGCTCTTACTGGGCTCTCAGGCTGAACTGTGTCAGAAGACTGGCAGGGTCTGCCTCACAAAGTACCTCGATAGAGCTACTGCACATAGGGAGCCCAAGTCCAGACAGTTTGGTGCAAAGCAACTAATGCCATATCCCTTTAAAGCTTCCGTCTCTCAGAGCACTAGAGAGGATGACTGAAACTGACAGCTCCTCCACTTTGCACCGCAGCACAGTTTCCACAAAGAGTGGTAACCCAAGACCTCCTTTCCATACTCATCTACAAAATCAAATTCAGAAACTAAATAAAGCATCTCTAAGATGCCAAGATTTTCCAGCCAAGCCTACAACTCAAACACTTGTAGTAAACAGTTTAAAAGCCACCAGCAGGAAATGAGCTATCAAGTTCAAGCATATGAAGATGGTATAGCAAGTCAGAGAATGAGATAAACAGCTAAAGGCTTAGCTATCTCACAAGACTGAGATTAGGTAATTAGTCTCAGACAGAGAACATTTCAGGATGTGTAAGCTGTATCTGTACTACTCTGTTATTGTGCTAAAGTGCTCTCCATATCCTCAGCCAAGCAGGCTGGCATACATATATATGCTGTATAGGGCCGAGATACCTATCGTATAGTTTGTGCCTGGGTTTCCCACCCGGGGAAACAATGCAGTCCACTTCAAACCTGACCATGTGTGCAAATTTGCATATAGGCAAAACGGCTGAGGACTAGGAATCCAGATCAAAACAGGGAATAAATTGGCCTGCCAGTACAAGCACCCCTATGTTAGCCAGGGAAGATCGTGACTGCAATAGGATGAGGGAGCAGCTGAGTGATTTGGTACAGATTACATCAACTGCTCTTGACTCAGCACGCCCACAGCTTGTGAGTCTGCTTAGCTTCCTGGTGCCTCAAGATCACAGCAGTGACCAGAGCTGCTGGGGGCTCATTTTCATTCCTCCATCTGCCCTTATTCAGCAAGTGGCATCCTTGCAGCCTTGAGGGGGCTCTGACAAGAGCTCTAAGCAGCCTGAGACCTACCAGGTTCAGAATCCAGCTCTTCCCACATTGCCACTGAGGGAAGCAGAGGGGCCATGCCCTCCTGAGCAGCAGAGGTTATGAATTTAGGACTGGGGCTGGTGGCTTTATCTACTCTGTGGCTCTATAGTAAGTAGACGCGAGGAGGTGAATGGTTAATGTTTACTGAAGTTTGCATTTCCAATGATTCCAAGGGCTCTTGAGAGGCACACGTGAAATATCTACTGCCTTGAAAGAAATGAAAGAACAGCCTGGAGGAGGACTGAAGGCTACCTGCCAGTCCCTCACCACAAAGCACAGCAGCAGGTGGACATAAGCTAATGATTTATGGGGAAACGTGCCCCTTTCTTGCTCTTGAAATGCAAGTGAGTGAAAGGCATCCTGTACCCCACAACAACTAGAGTCTTCCTGGGATAGGCTGGTGGGCAACCCTGAGAACTGCATTAGTGTGGTGAAGGCCTAGGTTTTCACTATGAAGAAAAGACATTACCTAGCACAAAGCCTTAATAAAGGTTTGGGTCTTGCCTTGAATGAGTGGAGCTGGAGAATCCTGAAAATTATTTTTAAAATCAGCTACTTTTTGAACGTGTGAAGTTATACTGACTGAAATGTTGCGCCGAACTTCCTAGAGTACTACAGAGAGAACCTTTTAAAATATACGTTCCCCTTCCCCTATTGTAAAACACAGATAAAAGTTTACCTTGCATACAATCTCCAGCCCGTATGAATTCTCACCGCGACTGGAAGCACCTCCAATTTTCTCCACTCTGTTGATTACACCTAAAGATGCATCTAGGACAAAAGGAGGGTCCTGTAGACAGTTGAAATTTGTGAGTTTAAAAAGGGGAGGGGGAAAATTCCCCAGCTCCTGCTCCCTTATGCCTATACTCCCAAACATATAGCTATGATTCACACAGAATTACTCTCAGAGAACACCTAGGTCTAAAGATTGAACAGCCAACAAAGGCAGATGGTTTCAAAAGCTTACCCGTTCCATGCTTTTAAAATATAGTCTATAATTGGTAACAGTAAGGGTTCCTCTGATTGCTCCAGTGAATGGGCAGATGTAAGTAACATCCTTAGCTTAAAAAAAGAAAAAAAAAGTTGTTAATTTCACGGTTAATTTATGGGAGTAAAATTAGGACAGCAACAATATTTGGGGGCTCTACTTTTTACATCACAAAATGAAAACAAGCTTAGGCTGGGCTTCTAGCCTACAGCTAACATGCAAGTTTCAGTTCTGTGGAGAAGGTAAGAGTTTGGGTAAAAACTGAACTCCAGGTTAAGAGTTTGGGTAAAAACTGAACTGAACAGGTAAGTACCATCACCTAGAATCCTACATTTGCACAGAACTATTACCCCTGTAAAAAAGCCAGTGTTCGGCTGCAAACTGTTTACTGTTACTGAGCAATGCATTGCCAGATGCTGAGAACACCATGCACGAAAAGAGGAGACAATTCCTGCCTGGATGCATACATTTGAAGCTGACAACAATCTGCATAAAAGCTAAGGATTGCCCGCAAGCTGGTCTGTGCCACCAAGGACAGGAGAAGGCAGTTCTCCTGCATGTGGCTTTTAGGAAGCTTGGGTCCTTCCGCACACCCTTGCACGCAGAGTCAGCCCTGGGATGAAGGCCCTCATGCTAAAAGCCAGCAGAGCTAGGGAAATTTCCAGCAGCCACAAGTCTGTGTAACACCCAACTGCCAGTGATTTTAAGTCTGAAGTCAGCGATCAAGTTACTCTGCAACAATTCAATTATTTTTGAGCCTGAGTGATGGTGACTCAAAACAGTCCCCTTCTTAAAAGGCCTCAAACGTTTCTCACTTGTTCCAGCAAAAGGCAAGAGATGCTGCTGGTTTTCCACAGCAAACACCTCCCCTAACTGCCCTTCTGTTTTACATCAATTAAAAATGCCAACATCTAAGTCGTTCTCTCCCCACCCCCTGCCGCCCAGCAGTGACCCATCACACCTTCTGCCACTGAAGCAGCTGGCTGGCTGTGCTGTGGCAATGGTTTACACTACCACTGACAAGTGACAACACCCTTCAAACACACAGAGATCATTTCAGAAGGAGGCCCACTGACCAGAGCCGCCACATCCGTAAAAGAACTCCCTGGACCATCTTAATAACCTCAAGCCTCCAAAACCTACGGGATCTATTTCACAAGGGCTGTGTGAAGTCAGGAGGACAGCTCGCCTCCCATCCAGGTGAGGGCCACCACACAGAACAGGCGTGAGGCTACTGGGGTGTCAGGATGGGGACCTGAATTTCTTCTACCTTTATCCCATGAGATTTAGCCTTGAGAAAAGGAGTAACAGAGAATGCCTTACTCCAGGGCACTAGCAACTCATATAACTAAATCACCCTCATGTTGGCTCTGCTTCTGCATAGTCTTCACTGACTTTTGAAATTTGGACATGGAGAAGGATCCTTAAAATACCAGGAATGAATAACTGAGAGCAAAATACGTAGCACAGAACATTTGGTTAAAAATAAATAAAATAAAAAATATATATAACAAAAATGCGGTAGCAACTTCATTATTTATTTATTTATTTTAATTTACATGCATTTGTTTGAAGGACAATTAAACACAGTGTGCTTCTAGCCAGTTCTAATTAAACCAAGTGTTTCATTATTGGCCGATTATTAATCACGTCTTTTCAAAGACCAGTTTGGCAGAGGTTTGAAAGCACACTCATGAAGCATAATAAGGGTGAGGGCAGCCTGCCTGGTTTTTCCACTACAGTTCCCATTATTCAAAATGTAATTTCAAAATGTTTAAAAGACATAAAACAAAATCTACTAATAAGAGAAGTGTGCATTTACATCTGAAAAGGAACAGGATTTGGTAAAGATGAAAGGTGCGAGAAAAATGTTTTCCAGGTAAGGAAACCCAGGCACGATCTCAGACACTGGCCTTGCCAGCTTGTAAGCCACATCACCTTTCACATTTGCATTTTATTAGCTTGGTTTCCTAAGGAAACAATTTTACTTAATTACACTGCACATATACACATGTACCTACACACATGGCTTGTCTGACCTTAAGCCTAACATGGCTGTATGATTTCAGCAGTCTCTGTCTGATAAACAGGGATCTCCAAGGCATTAAAATGCTTCACTGTTTGTGAGAACGGATGCCAGGTATAACAGAGAGGTTGTACTAGTGCTACTACCAAGGGAAAGTCTAATAAGCTCAATCTTTGGTAGATATAAGAGAATCCATATGGGAGAAAGATACTGGAAACCAGGATTTACTAATTCCCCTGCTGATGGAATTCCCATCTTTTATAGGGCCAATCTTACCCTAGATTATTGGGTTGGCTGAAAAAATTTTTCTTCCCTTCCCTGTAAAATCCAAAGAGTGCCTTTCTTGACACTTGTAACAGGAAATAATTATTGCTGATGAATAATAAAGATTTCCTTTTTGCTACCTTTAACTTCTGGCTGGACCACGCAGCTGCTGTCTGGCCTACTCCAAAAGCCACCCAGTCTTACAGACTTACATGGCTGATCACATCATTTGCCAACAGATAAAACACTGGTAACTGATCTCTTAAACCATTCCCCAGGAACCCTTCAAAATACAGTCTTGCTCTCAGAGTTAACTGTGCCTCTGGAGTGAGTTAGACATCAGTCTGCACTGCATGGTTGGAGTATGAGTTCCAAGTCCTTAGGAAAGGAGTGGAGAAAAGGATCGAGCATTAAGGTGGGGGTTTTTTTTTGTTTGTCTTTAATTTTTTTGTTGTTGGGAGGGGTTTCTTGGTGAGGTATTTTCAGGTTTGGTTTTTGTTTTTTTTATTCTTAGGACTGAAGTTGCACTCTTCCATATTATTTTAAGAGGAAGGCAACATGTTAAACTAGTGAATGCAAAATCTTTCAAAGAAAATTAATCAAGAGGCTTACTCAAACTTTCAGACTGGAGTGCATCAGCAAACCTGATACATGTCACAATGTCTGGATGAAAAAAAAGAAAAAAAGCCCTATCCCCATATCACAACAAGTTCTCTGCAACAGCACTGTATCCTCTCCTGCAGTCTGTGACAGACATTTGACACCCAATTGTGCTGTGTCAACCTAAGAAGTTACCCTGTAGCAAGCACAACTTGAAACAGTCGATCCATATCCTCTCAGAAGGCAGCAAACGCAAAGCTGTACAACCTACCTCATCACTCATGCTAAGATACGTTGAATTGCCTTGTATTTGCTATGTGCTAAGAGGAGACATACAGTTACCTTGGCTCATGTGATACACAATAACTTGATTAATGAAACAACCTCATCATTGTTCTCAAAACATCAGCAATTTGCTGCTGTTGGTCAATAACAGCCAAGATATTTTGCTCTATGGATATTCTATTTGGTCAGCAAAAAATAAGGAATTTCCTCTTCACATACCCATGTCTTTAATGGTTTCTCCTGGTAGCAAAGGTGGCTCTTCCATTTCAGCCAATTTATTAGTCTCCCTCAGGACCTAGGCAAAAGATAGAGGTAGAAAAAGAAATTATTTATGTTTTCATAAACCAAGAAGTTTACACTTACCTGTAATGGGTCAACAATATCAGGGACAACAAATATTCAAAGATCTTGAGCCCTGCCTAGTGTCTCAGCCTCTGAAGGGTCAACACAAAGCATGTGAAAGACCTCCACGCAGTCCTTGAGCATACCATTGGGTCATGCACAAGTGTTTAAGCAAGGTTGGCTGTGATGGAGAAGCTGTTCAAAGCAGTCTCTGCGCTTTGGCAGCACACTTCCCAGGTGGCTGCCTTTCATGCTCCAACCTTCTCCTCCCCAACTCATCATCATGAGTCAAACTCTCTGTCCACACAGCTACACACAGAACCAAAGGGATTGGTTCCTTTCCTGGTTGAAGTGATCAACTGTTACCATGATGCTATAAAGTAGAGCAATTTCTAGTTTACACTGAGGAAAGTTAAAAGGGACACCTTGTCACACCACTGTCTTCAGTGAGGGCCCGACAACTGCAAAGATTCTGATGTGGCTCAGTAGTAGTGACTTGTTACAAAGGTTGTATTTTGATAGGCATGTATAGGAGGTACAGTTTCCATTTTTTTTGGCTGCCAAATGACCCTTCCTCCACCCTTCCCTCAGGATAAAGTTATACCACAGGGCATTACTTTTCACAGATATGATTGCATTTACACAAGGGTTTTCACAACAGCAACTGCTATCACGAGCAGAGAGACATTTTAGGAAAGCACGGCTGTAACTATGAAAGTGTAACCTGAGGTCTAAACCTATGGTAAGAACTAGGGGAGAAGAGCACATCTTAAGTGACCAAGGTTAAGGCTAAGTCTATGTGGCCAAACACAGACAGATTTAATCCTCGAATTGGCCAAATGACCACAACCACAGCAGCACACCAGTTGCTCAACCTAATAACACAGACAGAGAGCAGGTAAGTTAGTCTGGACTCTGCCTCATGCTGTAGCAACAACAAGACTTTGGGTTTAAAGTTGGCGTGCATCCACCTGGTGGAGATATGCACAGAGAGCTCATGTCCGCTCACAACTGAATATGCAGACTCGCCCAAAATGCTTTCTTTATCTTAATGTGAGGAAAGAGAAAGAATTGTTTTAATTTGGTATCAGGAAATTCCTGCAAAGAAAATTCCAAGACATGGCCAAAAGTGGCACTGTAGAACCTGACACGTCTGTTGTCAACTTTCACGTAGGATCAAGCCAGAGGGAGAGCCTCGGGGAAGAAAAATTCTCTAAACTGTGCAAAAAATGAAAACAAAACTCAAAGAAACCCCACACCACAATAAAAGCACGTTCCAGCATTTTCACACAACAGATTGATGTATAGATGAAAAGATTAACAAGATCAAAGCCTTCTTGAGAACAAGATGTACGTTTTTAAAAATGCATTCAAAAGACTCTTTAAAAAGAAAAAAATAAAAGCAAGCACAGTCCTGGCTTCCTAACAGGAACCTCACAACCGCACCCACTTAGGCCAGCTCTTACCACAGAGGCTGCCAGGGCAGCCAGACTGGGGTCTACAGGATGGGTAAAGGGAGGACACCACTGACAGAGCTCACACTGGCAGCACTGAGCTTGCAGGAAAGCTTCTCCTCCCCCACATCAGCAATACCAGCAAAAACAAGGTTTTGCTGGTATAACTAGCAGAAGTCTATGCTGAAGACTTCTTGTCAGCACAGCTGTGTTGGCCAAAGATCACACATCCCATCAAAGCCCTGACTGACTGCCTCCCCGACAAAAGCCTGTGATGTAGACCAGCTCTGAACTCCTGTGTGTGGATTTTTGGGCTTGAGTAACAGCCTTGAAATTAGCAGGATAACATCTGGATTATGCCAAATGAGACGGAGGCTTCTGGCTAATTAGTCCGTAAGTGGTGGTCATCTTTGTAGCCTTTTATCTTGGAAGGAACGTTAGTAAAAATACACTCTGTGTTCAGGACACGATCACAACTTCTTTGAGAAGGTGTGTACCCTGAATGGGCAGCAGCTGCTGCTAGGACCACTTTGGTCAACAGCTGGACTTGCTGCTCTCCTGCAGTTGTCAGCGGGAGCACATCCAGTGGTAAACATTTGGAGGACTGGGCTGTATCTTAAGCCAAAACAAATATGAGGTAAGCTACACAGAAAGCATTTGGTATGACAAACAGCTGCCATGATCACTCGGTGGGCAGTGCTCAGGTGGATTTTAAACACTGTACTGCAGGTGGTGGAGAGAAGGAGGGAAGAGGCAAGCAGTACGAAAGACAAAGACCTCCATGTCAACACCATTCTGCTAAAGACAAGGTTGAAAGCTTTTTCAGTTTAAAAACTGGCTCTTCTAAGTCTAATAAAATCCATCTGCTTACTTGCACTCTCTGAAATGTGGAATCCCCCGGGTCAGAGGAAAGGATTAGCAATCCAAACCTGCGCTCACTTCAACACAGGGCAGCGGATGGATAGCCTCCTGGAAGCATAGCACTTCAAGGTCAAGGTCACTGCCTCCTCCTCCCCTTGCCTTTTTTTTTTTTTTTTTTTTTTTTTTTACACAGAGTTGAGGACTAAACTGTCATTTTCCCCATCCCCCAACTGACCTCAGCCACACGACCCACCTCAGGTAACGCAGCACTGACCGCCTTCATGATGTTTTCAAAGTTGGTGCAAGCATATCACCCCTGGATAACAGTCACCCTTCCCCAAGAGGCTGAGACAGACATGGTCAGAAAGCCCAGGACAAACACTTCTCTGGTGTGCCGGTCTTTGCAGCACCTGCCCAGCTTTAGACCTTGAACTAGCCTCCTAGTTGGAGCATGAACACTTGAAACCCATCCTGGCAGAAACTGAGAAAGGAATGGTAGGCATTTTCCTGAAATCCACCTCCATTAGTGGCTCCTTAAAATTCATTCGGGGAAATGCAATCTGCCTGCAGCTGACAATGCAGGCAGCAGGCGCAGGAGAAGACATCTGGGGCAGTGCTAAAGGACAGGGGGTGGCAGGAGGGAGGAAAAGTGGGTGGATAAGGAAAGAGGAGTTTTGGAAACAGATCGTGGGGAAGAATGGGACAGGTCAATGCACATGGAGTTCTGGGAGGATGCTAATGCCATAGATCTGCCTCTTATATGACTAAGAAGATGACATGAAAAGCTCCTCCATCTTACTGCCATCCTCCCCTCCCCCCAAAATCCAAAAATGGTTCATTAAACTGTCAGAAAAATCTTTTTTTGTACATTAGCCGATTTTCAAGACTCTAAAAATAACACTCCTGGGCCCAGATTTAGACCTCTGCAAATCTTGCAAAACAAAATTAAGTACTCGAGTGAGGCAAGGAAGCAAGTAGGGGAGCCAGGGACACGACTGCGGCAGCTCAGCTGCAGGAGAGTGACGGCTGGCTACTGATGCATTAACGCTACTGAGGCAAGTGCCATATACCTGTATAACTGAAATGTTTCACCTCTGTGTGCCTCAGGTTTTTAAATTGTTCGGTAGGAACAAAACCAAAGAGAGCTTTGAGATCTGCAATGAAGGTCACAGCCAGAGCTGGGCAGAATCGGCATTACTTAGGAA